GGAGGGAGGAGGGAGGAGGGAGGAGGGAGGAGGGAGGAGGGACTCTACCATACAGATTTTGAAAACGGAAAAGAATGGGAAACAAAATAGCAAATTGAGGCGACCATGAGCTCTGGTTTGGGAAAGCAGAGAGTTATTAGGATACGGGCGGTGCTGGTTTAAGCAGACCATTCTCCCTTCATTGCAAGCCCCAGGAGCACTACCAACCACATCTCGGGATCGGGGAGCTGGAAATAAAACGGAAAGTGTTTTAACGCTTACACGGTACTGATCTAACCATGAAAAAAAGTAAAAAGCTTGGGTCGGCTGCTCTCAACATAAAGCCAAACAGCAAGAGGAACAGAAAAGTTGAGGGTGGAAGGGCACTGCCTCAAAAAAATGTCATGCTAGAATCTGAAACGGTGGCCCAAATGAAAGGCACTGGTTACCACAACTTGGGACGTGGCTGACTCGGTAACGTAACGAGCAGTGGCCACGGTGACGGCCGGTTCCTGGGAGTATCTCCACTCGGACAGGCTCTTTCGCCTGGGACCAAAGAGTCCCACTCTCAGGACCTCGACTTCGGGTGGCGGCTCCGTCCTGCTGAGGCGTGTGCTGTCCAGCCCCGCGTGGGGCCCCGTGTCCCGGCCCGGCTGTGGGGCTTTCTGCAGCTCTTCTTCCTCGGGGCTCGGACGCCGGGACTCGGCTTCCTTGATGGGAGCCAGGGATTCGGACAATTTCCGTTTGGGGGTGTGGACCTCGGGTCCTCTTTTCGATTTCTCGTCAGGGCCAGCATCCAGGACCTCGTAATCGGCCATGCCTGGAATGATCTTCACAGACTCTGACAACCCTCTGTCTGTTTTTGGAAAGGCTTCCAGACTGCAGGGCTGCACCCCCTTCTCCCCCTCCTTGGCTTTTCCAGTCATGGTAACGATCTTCCCCGATACAGTGTCATAGGATTTTCCTAGAGTGTATAGTTTCTGTTTGCTCTCTCCTCTCAACTGCATTTCCTGGGCCAAGTCATCGAAGCTCTGCATTTCAAGGGCACCGGATTCTAACAGATCGGCGGGGATGTCACCACTTCTACTGCTCACGGTCACCACCTTGTAAGTCACAATCTTTTTCAAATCACCATCAACTACCTCAGTGGGTACTTTATCTACAATAACCCAATCCTCTGTGCCCTATATTTGAAATATAAAAGCTAAATTAGAAATTCTGATGTTCTCATTTCTAAAATAAGAATCCTTTAAGAAAACCAGGGCAAAAGCTACACTGTGATGTGACTGCACAGGGCTGGTGTTAATGTCTAAGGATTATGGCCACAAAGCTCTTCTTATCTGAAATTTACAAACTCTAGCCTTCAACTTGGAATACAGTCTGCACGTAGAATTGCAATTGCAGATTTCTTTAAGCAGGAACATACCTTGGTGGTAAGTGTTTGCAAGACTCTATTTGACCTTATGCTAACCGTCTGATCATTTTGTATTTCAAGAGTAAATGACATTACTGAAGTTGTTGTACGAGTCATTTAGCTTGTATGGGCACAAAAAGACCATTTTCCAGGACAACTATAACACTGCACTTCACATCTGCTGTTTTCACAAAGAACTCGCCAGCATCCCATGAATTTCTGTGAATACCATTTCTCATGTTTGTAAATTCTACTTCCTCATATAGGAGGATTGAATCCACTACAGCACTTATTATTCAATAAACAATGAGCGTGCCCTACTCAAGACACTGCCAGGAAGTATCTCCTACTGCTGGGGCACTGTTGGAGCCTCTTATCAACAGCTCATGGTGGTCTGTACCGTGTTCCAATCTGACTTACAAGCGAAGTTCATCATCTGAGTAGTTTCTTTGCCACTTTTCTTAGTACTTAGTTCCAATACAGCAGAAGAAATGAAAGTTAAGAGACTTGTATTTGAGAAAGCTACTAGGGATGAGACCAGGCAGTGGACTAGTCTAACAGATCAGGAAGGGAAGAAAAACCAAACCGGGGCAATTGAGCACCTTGATTTACATTTTAAACGACAGCGTTTTCTATTTGCATAGGAATCTAGAAATGTGTGTGCCTTATGAACAAAAATTACAGATCGGTCTACATGCTGGTGCTGGATTAAAGCAAATGAACTGAAAAATAACCTCTAGGGTCGATGGGACAGTTTTCTGGAAAATGATTTGATGAGAGGTAACCACAGAGCCCGCAGAATCTCCTTCCTGCATTTTCTTTATCAGACTCGGCTAGTGGGAAAACCAATAAAAGTTCAGAACTTTCAAAATCAGTCAAGGTCATCTAAGTTAGTTATCACTCTATGGGTAGAGTGGACAGTAAAAAGTCCAATAATATTATTGGAAAGCATCATCATAATGCTTCCATGACCACACACAGCTATAGTCACTGAGAAGCAAGGGTGTAAGGTACTGATGGCTAACTGATAACCAAAATAGTAAGAAAATTCCCTTTCCCCTCCCCAGAATCTAAGCAAAAATGACATACCTACCTTAGTTTTAAGCGAGGTAGATTTAAAAAGGAAAATAAAAACTAAAGACATTTCAATGACACTGAAAGCTGAAGAGCAATTCCCTTCTGGGAAATTCCTTTATGTTTGTTTTTTACCTGAGACTCAAGGAATGGAGAGCTTCCTTGCTGCAAAAATATAACTTTTTCAGAAATTTCTCTTTCTTCTTTGGTCTGTTTGAATAAAGGGGGTTGGGTTGGAGAAGAGGAAGTAGACAGTTTCCAAAAAAAGGCAAGTTAGGAAGAGAGTTCTTTTACTGTGTTGTACATATAATAGTCATTCATCTCTTTCTGAAGAAGTGAATTATTGCTTGTGAATTTGAAAAGTGGTCTGAAACCATCTCAAAGTTTCATGATCATGTCCCCAAAGTAACAGATTATTTTCTGAAGCTCCAGTGTTTGACTCACACGTTTTCCACTTCTATAAACACAAAACATGCAAGAGCCAAAGAAAGATCTCCTTGGCATTCACAGTGTCTAGGCCAGTCATGTGCAAAACTGTAGAAGTGAGGAGTAAAAGAAAATGTGAAGATTAAAAAAAAAAATTAAGTGAGGAAAAAAATCCTCACTCCTACATCTGACAAACTCTTGACTGCATTCCCCACTGAAGTGCTGGCTTCATCCCGGGCAAGGAAATACACACGGGCCACCACCATCAGCTACTAGCTCAAGTAAACCCAGTCACACCTAGATTGATTCCTTTATTACCCCACAGAAAACAAAGTATACTCAAAATTTATAGCTTTATTTGAACTTTCGTAAGATGGTGAATAACTTTAAAAAGTCAATTTCAAAATATCTTTGTGAAAAATTAAGTACTTTAAGTCACACTTTAACATGTAACATTAAGAAAGGCTGAGGTAAATATGCCATGTTAGCAACTAGCTTCTTCCTTTTACCTACTTTCTAGTCCTTCCTTTAGTATTGAGTAGGAATAATTCAAGTGGCAATATACTAGCCACTGAGCCGATCTCTGTGCATAGCGTATAGATAGCTCCATGGAGTACTGACAGAAAGGGTGTTCAAGAAGAGTAATCTAAAAAATCATAACAGAAAGCCCAAAGTTTCTAAAAGGACAGAGTTTTTAAAATAAATCCTATTGTAAACAACATAATTTAATGAGATTTACTATTCCTATATGTGTACAAACCTATCAGTACTACTTTTAATAGTTTGCCTATAAGAGTTTGTAAGGGTACATCTGGAATATTCTCCGGAAGGTCCTGCTGGCAAATTTTGATAGCATCGTTTTCCTATGCCCCTTTTTCAATGAAGAACAAGTAAGATATTTCTGAAGGGGAAAAAAAAAAATCAGCCCTCTCCCTCCCCATTTTGGAGAAAGGTATTGGAAAAGACAAAATGTAACATGTATAATCATTAAATATGGATTTTTGTTTTGTTTGTTTTACTTTCAATTGTAGCCTCTTTTTCAGAGAGAAATAAGAAACAGGAAGGAAAGGTCAAAATTATAGGTACTTTTCAGAATACCACTGCCAGGCCTCTAATTATAATCAATGAGCTAAATATTATTCCTAAGATGAAAGCTTAAAAAAAATAATAGGAGAAAAACAGTGGTTTTTAGCATATCCTGTTATCTGACATCAACTAATTTCAAAATTGCCTTTGTCTATAATGAAAGTATCAACACAGTCTGCATTCTGAACTGTGTGTGTCTGCTGAGAGAAAAGGTAACATAAGGGATAGGTCTCAAAACAAAATCCTATAGATGGTCAACCTCAATTCAGTTATTTCAGCTAAAGACACGTGAAAGGATGCTGATAAAGAAAGAAAAGCTGATAATCCAAATGTTCACTTTTATCACGGGTTAGAAGAGAGTCAGCTGTATACTCCAAACATTTTTAGTTACTTAGACATTCATCACTATATCATAATTGGGAGACGAGGCCCTTGTACTGGCATGCAAAATGTACAGAGGTACTACTCACTCTCAGGGGACCAGGGATTTGTGCAGAGCCATGGCCCTTGTTCTCCCTGGGCCAGGGTGTTCTCAAACTGGGCTATGCATTAGAATTGTGTGGAGATCTTTTAAAATAATAGTACTACGTGGGGGTGCAGCTCAGACGAATGAAATCAGTCTCTGATTTAACAGATCCTAGGCCCAGTATTTTTAAGACTTCCCATAGGTAATTTTAATATGTACCTAGAGTTGCATGCATCCCAAGGCCTGGATGGAAAGTCAGAGAAGTCAGATTTGGAGAATGAAGATAACTCTCCCTATCCACAAAGAGATGATCATAGTGAATGGTTTTTCTCCCCCCACCCAATTTGAGACCCATACAAAACCTGACTAGCAAGAGTAGAACTGGAGTAGAAAGCAGACGTATGCACAAAGAGAGTCGATCCCACTTATTCAAAGTAATTATGTTCAATAAAATCCCCATGAACAGTGAGTTAGTGAATACTGAACCATTGATTTTATGGGAAACACATGGTTAAGGCTCCTGTGAGTCTCTGGTCATGATACCTGTCATCAACTGTTCAATACATAACCTTGTTTTGTATGTGTTTTTGTTTAAAGACTCCTTACTTAATATGTATTATTGATCCGTTAACATTGAACTCACGTCCAACAGCACTCTAACTTATTCCTGAATGAGACTTCTTTAACACATATATTTTCCCAAAAGGCAAGTGACAGCCTTCTTGTGCTTAGGAACACTAGCTCGCACTTCAGGGCTATGTCTGGGGGGTCATCTGAAGTGGCAAAATCACCCAGGGAAACACAAAAACATGGCACTAAATAGGCCTGAAGAGCACATTTATTAACAGTATGGGAACTGAAACAGGAAGGCAGGGCCCTGCCTTGTGCAATCAAAGTTGGGAACATGTGTGGTTGAGACGCAAAGCTCTCATCACTCTGTGTCTGTCTGCAGATGACTGGGAAAGTGCCATTAAGGCCGATTTTAGGGTTACGATGAATTCCAGTGAGTAGGCTAATGTGCAACTATGGAATCTGTGAATTGGGAGGATCACCCGTGCTAAGTTTACGTGCCATAAGACTACCACCTGCGTTGACAAACAGGCTGATATTGGCACTGCAGAAGCACTAATGGGTACTGCCTTTTGGTTGGGGTTTGGAAACTTTTAATATTCAAGTGACCACAAGGGCATATAACTCTAGCGTGGACTCAGTGTAGGAGCATCACCAAAGGCTGTCATGGGAAATATCTGTGGACAGAGACATACCCGGAGGCCTTCACGGACCATACATCTATGCCTCCTGTTTGGTGGGCCCTGTATATGGGCTTGTCTATGTTCCAAAGTGTGCAGTGCTTTGGGGCCTCCTTACTACTTATCTGCTATTAACTCAGTATTTGAAAGTTGAAACCACTGGCAATAAACTTCCCATCTTATAGTAAACATACACAATAGTCTTAGAATATAATCACCACTACTCACTATATATATACTCACTATATATTACTCAAGTCATCTGAATGAAACAGCTATGTAATGGTACAGGAATGCTTTGGCAACAGTACTTTTCATCTATTCTGCATAAAAGGGCCCTTTCCAAAGTAATTCAAATGGATTCATACCTTGTCACGTTTCAGCTGGGATTGGAATTATCATGAATATAGTGATTTGTGGTCACTTTTGATAAATAGCTTTCAAGGGTAGTTTAGAAAATGACCAAAATGAGTGTCATTATATTCTTCTTTTCACTGCAAGGACCTAAACATTGCATATAGACTACCACTTAAAGGGTTTTTCTCCCATAGAGGCCTAAGTTTTGATTTCTTTCTGTTCTATCTCAGCTTTCTGGACAAATATGTTACAACAAGAGTCTTGATAAGAAAGAAGTTAATCAGTATAATGCTAGAAAGATGCAGTTATTAAAAAACTACTTCTTTTCAAAGACAGATAAAGCAAGATGGTGTCTAAGAGCTGACAGTCAGATGAGCACCACTGATATTTGTGGGTCCCACAGTGGGAGCCCCGAAGTAGGGTCCGCTGAATCCTCACAGTCTGGCTCTACATTTCAAGAGAGCTTTCCAATATGGAACACTCTTACTTAAAAAGACATTCTGGGCTCTATGTTCTCTATTAAGAACCAAATAAAAGCTGATTATAAATCAGTTAAAATAATCAGTTATGTATATTTTAAAAAATCGGTTAAAATCAAATCAAAGACAAATTATACCAGCAAAAGCCTGGTGTAGTATTCCCAGAGTAAAACACGTCTTGAGATTCTGTCAACTTCAGATCAGTGTTGAGTCAAACATTAGACAATCTCCCTACGCCTCATCTTGCAACCGATGAGAAACACTCATGAGCTTTCAGGGCACTTCTTAATGCAGCAGAAAAAGCATTTTTCAGAAAAAGTGTCAGTTCATTAAGACAGTATCTCAATTTCTCCCAGCTGTGAAATCTAGGTTCGCAGTTAGAACAAACCAATTTGCATGCACTAGAGTTTCCCTGGGCCTCCTTGTTCATTCCTAAGCACCCTGGGATGTGACTACTCACTCCTCAGCCGCCACATCATTTTACTTTGCAGCTTTTCTTTGGAGCCCAGAGTAGGTCAGTTCCGTTTTTACACAGACAAGTGGCGAGACTGCCTACTCAGAAGCTTGCAAATAAGCACCACCAGTGAGCAGAAGACAATGACAACCCAAAGCCCAAATACCGACCTCTTCGGGGACGAGCGGCTCGATCATAGGCGCGTCCTCCTGCCTGGTGGCTAGTCGCACTGGGGAGGTAGAAAGCCTCTTTTCCCATTCATTCGTGATGGCAGTGTCTGTGGAGGTTTCTAAAAAGGTTCTTTTCAGCTCACTAATATTGGTTTGATGTTTCATCAGGTCATCTTGAGTTTTATCTAGCTCCTATATTCAGAACATAAAGAATCCAGCAGTCAACATTTTACATTTGCCTTCCTATTTGTGTTTTTTTTTTTTTTTTTTTTTTTTTTTTTAAGTAACATCAATCTCATTAGTAGTCAAAATAAAAGAATTCTGATCAGGGCTCATAACACAACCACAAGCATTTTGGTGAAAATGTGACATTTCTAAGGAAAAGAGAAGAAAAAAAATCTAGTTCACGCAAGCATAAAAATCAAAAGAGTTCTTAAAGGCAAACTATAAAGAGTTAATTCACATGTAACCAGAAAAAAATGAAAATAAATACACACAGGAAAAAGGATCTATATCTAGGAGAGAGGGAGGAACCAGAGTAGGCTGAGAAGGTATCCCCACTTATTCACAGGTGAGAGCACACAGTTCATGCAACATTGTATGAGCCCACAGATAGGCCACTAAAAGAGAGGCCGACACACACAAACATGCACTGGTATATACCAATACCAACCTCTAACATAAGATTACTATGTTTGACATACACATTTTCACCCTTTATTCGCTTAATCAGACTATTCTGAAAAAAGTGGAGAAGAAAGGGAAAGGTAAGGGACACGGCAGTCACGGGAACAAACGCCACCCCCCACACTGCACCGACAGCATGGGTAACCGCCTACAGAGCACGCTGGAACACTGGAGCACCGGGGACGCACAATGCTCATCACACACTGGGTTTTGCTTTTGCTTTATTTTTAATTTTCTACCTGTGCCTTGAGCTCTGCATCCTCCTCCTGGTCCGACTGCCAGCATCAAGAAAGAGTGGGAAATAAAGTCTTACCATGTAATTGACTCTATGACTGAAAAACTATGGTCTATAGAAACTTGCTAAAAGGGGGTACTGGTTTGCTCTTGTATATGGATGCTATTTCTTTCCTATATGCAAGCCCAACACTCTCACACGCAAATTACGATGTTTATTAAGACAGGAGTAGAAGATTCCTTGCTCGGTGGGTCTTTGACACTTTAACCCGGGGACTTCTGAGTGTGATGAGCACAAACACATAAGTGGGAGGTGACAGCTAGGGGCTTGGTAGGCTGTCCTTAATGCACAGTAGAAATGGTTCAGGAAGTGTGGGGACCCACACTAAAACTAAAATTCACAAGAATGGTTAGGATTATCCAATAATGAGAGCTCCCTTGGAATGTATGAATCTTCATAATCCTATGAGGTTATAGCTATTATTATCCCCAACTTGTAGGCCAGAGAACCAAGGCTCAAAGAATTTAACAAAGAGGGTCCCACATTTAAGAATTTCTTGGAACCATGAATTTCTTGGAACCATGAATTTCTTGAACCCATATACGTAAAAATAAATGAACTTGGGAAGGGAGGAAGCGGATATGTTAAGAAAGTTAAAAAGAAAAAAAAAAAAAGGAATCAACTACCATCAACATTACCAGCATTTCTTTGAAATGTCAACAGGATCATTGTTGAGTTTTTAAAAAATACAACAGATTTATCTAAAAGCCACTTCATTATCCCGATTTTTCTTTTCTTTTTTTTAAGATTTTATTTATTTATTTGACAGAGAGAGACACAGCGAGAGAGGGAACACAAGCAGGGGAAGTGGGAGAGGGAGAAGCAGGCTTCCCACGGAGCAGGGAGCCCGATGTGGGGCTCGATCCCAGGACCCTGGGATCATGACCTGAGCCAAAGGCAGATGCTTAACGACTGAGCCCCCCAGGCGCCCCTGTCCTGATTTTTCTAATTGCAAGGATCTGTTTGGTCCTTGGACTGTTGTCCAGGTACCAGAAACGAGGTAACTAGGCCAAGCCACATGTGCAGGCAGTAGTAAAGTTGTGTGTCTCACTGGTGGTACTCGGACCCAGGTCCACAGGAGGCCCACAGTGTAATTACAGGTAAGAAGAGGAAGACACCCGAGCAGGTGGCCTGCAACACATCAGTCTATCTTGCTCTCAGCCTCCTTATATGCCCATGGGGCAAGACTGCCTACCTAGCACGCCTCACCCAGCACTACTATTGTCCTGGCTCCTGAGAGGAGATAAGGGAAAGTGTTTAAAAAGTGTGAGAGGGCACAGGTAACTCTAACACAGTGCTGGAAACACACTAATGCTTAAGTGTGTGGGGCATTCACAGCTCTTTGTTTTATTTTTAAGCTTTACAGTAACTTATGTTGCATGTATGTTTGCAGGCTTCAAATGTTATGTAACAACATTTAGAACTGCTATAGAAATTTAGAGTATTATTAAAATATTTTTCATTTATGGCACACATTAAGATCCCGAGGAAGTTTACTAAATTAACATGTAGCTACATGTAACTAAGAATTCTTATAAAATCAAGATGTAATTTTGTTATAATTTGACACAGAAAATTATTAATTTGTAATAAATTTATATGTGATCGCTTAAAAGAATCTGGATAGTTGTTGTTTTACAATATTATTTTTTTAAATTTCTTTTTAAGTAGGCTCTACGTGCCCAATGTGGGGCTTGAACTCATGACCCCAAGATCAGAATCAGAGTGGCATGCTCTACTGACTGAGCCAGCCAGGTGCCCCTATAATAATAATAATAATAATAATAATAATAATAATAACATTATTATTATACTTTTCAATGCCAGTGCTGTTATTTTTAACTTTAAAAAATTATGATTTCCAAACTTTGAGAGGAACTCTGGCATTTCCCAAGGATGAAAACTCCATTTAAAAAGGTTTTTCTGAAGATATTTTCAATTAAGTATTATACAGATACTATTTACATTTTTAGTTCTTCCTGAAGGTCCTACTAGAAAAGACTGTTCTAACTGGATGACGTAAAAAACAACTCCACAAAGTAAAAAATAAATTCTGTGAACACTTCAGGAAAGGAACATCTTGGCTTCCATTACTACAGTTTTTACAGAAATTTTAGTTATTTGTAGAGAAGCTTCGAAAAACAACATAAGCACACACGTTTATTTATCCTAAAGAATTCAAAAAGGATAAATGATAGCATAGTATGTTTCCTATCACTGTTCAATGTGATCACTTTTTTTTTTTTTTTTGGAATAGAGTACTAACAGTAATTTGCTAATTTTTCCTTCCTTAGAGAATCCACTTCTTTTGAGTGACCTAGGTTATATCCATCATGTCTACAAAAATAAGAGAATTATTATTTTAATAATTATTATTTGACCATTCGGGATTTAAAAATATATCTGTATCTAGTAAATAAGCTAATTAAATTAATTGTGACCCTCCTTCTCACTCATGGCTATCACACACAAACAGCCTCTCATTTGGGAAAGGGGAATATATATATATATATATATATATATATATATATATATTTGTATATGTAACTTTTTTTTTTTAAGTATTATTGGTTTAGCCAAAGGTTCTCAAGATGTGATTCTAAAATGGCAGAGTCAACATCCCTGGGAACTTGTTAGAAAGGCAAATTGTGGAGTCCCACCCTAGACCTTCTTCTTTTGCACAAGAAACATGAGAAGGGGACCCTGCCAGAGGATTCTGATGCAGGCCAGAGTTTGAGAACCACTGGCTTAGGCAACAGAATATATTTACTTCCTCCTTTCAAAGTAAGAATTTCTCTCCACTCTATAAAAGCTAGTATGCAAAGGTACTAAAGGCAGAGCCCCGTTCATGAGGCACTTGTGCTGGGCAGCCACCAGCCGCCCTCCCACAGTGATGGTACCAACCTCAGTGGCTGTGGTCTCCCCGTCTGCTGCCGTGTCCGTGCGTTCACTGTCGGTCTATTGATCACAGAAGTGACCAGGGTCCGGGAGGAAGGCAGGAATAGAAAACAAACCCGTTTGGTCAAATAGGGCATGGCACAGGTCCAATAGCTCGCTCTCTTTCTCTGTGATCTGATTCATACTACCTTCCCACAAGAATGCAGGTTCAAGCAAAAGCCAAAGAAAGGCCAGAGCCAGGCTTCATCAGCAGAGCCACTCGGAGGAAGACCAGAGGCGCACAGCCCGCGGGAACCGCAGGGGCTGCATTAGCCAAGCTGACCTGTCTGGTTTCATGTCTCAGGAAAACCAAATTGTCCTTCTCTCCCCCGCTTTTTAACTAAAACCCCGAGAAAGATCTCTTAGGAATGTTCATTGCAAATAAAATTGATGTTTATATATGTTTGTTATTCTGATATGTCACATTTGAAAGGTAAATTAAAATGTAAACTTAAATAAAAAGCTACTCTAACAGTCACTGGACTTTCAGCCTCTCATTTATATCACGTTGATAATTTAACACCCATTTATGACCATTAGGCTGTCTGCATTACCTATTACTTATAAAAAGCACATGCCAGTGACTCACAGGCATATGTTTTATATGTGAAAAATGTAACTCAGTTTTCAAGTAGCAGTGTTACCTAGATTTTTTATAGACTAACTGTTATTTTGCCCCACCCTCCAAGATAAAGAAGTATATCCAAGTAGGTATTTAAACATCTCTTTCCAAAACAACCATTCAAATGAAGCAAATTATAACAATAATAAAAAAATGAAGAGAGAAAGAGAGACATCTACTTGTAAACAAATAAAACAAAGCACAGCATTTGACAGAGCCTAAGTTTTTAAGGGAGAATTATAATAGTAATTTCAGGACTGGGTTTTAAGCGGTTTCATAGAGGTTTATGGTTTAAAACAGAAACTATTTTCTTTGGAGTACAACAGAACCACAGCCATTGAAGATGGGACATTTAAATGCCGTAATATATTATTAACTCAATTTCCCTCCACAAATGTCAACTAATCACTAATAAAATTCCCTTGAGCAAAGATACGCGATGAATATTTTGAAAACAAAAATAAAAACTGGGAGCCGTAAGTCTGCGAACCTGCCTCTTCAAATTATCTCTCAATCCTAACAACAAGGAATTTCAAGAAGGGCGACTGGGGCAGGGATGTGCATATCAACCTTACTCCGGCTAGGCGGATTTCTTGGCACCATCCCAAATTTCCATTTTATATATGCCTAAAAGAAAATACATTAAAATTCATGTTTGGCATGTGTGCCTGAGGTGGCCAGCTACCATGCCTAAGTAGAACATAATTTTCAGTAGTTTGGTAAAGAATGTGTGCTGACACATTTTCATGACCTGACCACCTTGGCAACACTCAGCGGGGGGAGGGGTGGCTATTAATTTTCTTATGAGGGTGATCATTGCTATGGTGTTAGCATGGCTTCCCCAACTGACAGCCTAGGGAATGGCCAATCTGACATAAGGCGAGAGAGACAGGTTATTGTTCAAGTGTATAATAACCCAAAGAAACCTTAGGCTTTCAAGAATAAATAGGAATGACTGGTGGTGCTTGGTGTGCTAACTCATTTTGTGAAACACTTCCAAGGTGCTTGAGAGTATTTCTCTTCTTACATAATCTTCCTTACGGCTTTAAAATCTACTAAAGCATCTTGGCTTTAGATTATAGTCCTGGTTAAGAGTGAGGGCTCTGATGTCAGACTGACATGAGCTCAAATCCTTGCTATTGAAATCTGTGAGACACTGGACATGTTTCATGTTTTAATCCCTATTTCCTTCCAGCAAAATGGAGAAAAAAATAACAGCCCTGACTGTATCAGGTAATGTACACTAAGTGCTTTCTATAAGGCCTGACACATGCAGACTAAAAGTGCACGTAATAACTGTCTTATGTTGATGTTAATATATTAGTATCACATTATAATATTACAAAATTACTACTACCATTTTTTCTAGCTATATGAAAAAATGGCTTAGGCCTTAAATTCCTACTGAGCATGTAGTCAGTTATTCTACAAATATAGTGCATGATCAATAAATAATGAATGAAGAAAGGCTGAATAAAATAGCTTTTATAGCACAAGCAGCTTTTATATATTGTTTATATAATATACTACGACTAAACAAAACTACGAAATGTACAACAGGTCACAAACTATCATATGATTCTACATCTATACAACTTAAAATTTTAAAAGTTGGTTGATTAATTTTTCTTCCAAATTTGAATCTTTTCGTATTATGAAAAAATTCCTCACAAATTGACACATAAATACATTCTATGGTATGGTGAGCTAAGTTCAGCTTACGTTTCTTGACAGATGATTTAATATTCTGTGCCCCTTCTTATGTGACCATTCTTGAAGGTACAAAAGAAAAAAACATGATTGGTCAACAGCTTTATAGTTTGAAATGATTCTGCCTTTCCACCCTGGGTTTCACTCTTGAGAAAGGCTGGAACTAATTAAACCACTCCAACACGTGAGAAATGTAAGCATCGATGACAAAATATTTGAAAAGAATTACATTCATAGTGATTTAGTGATTTTGGAAAATGAACGTGACAGAGCTGAACCTTATGTTACATGAAGTCACCCTGTTTAGCTGCCAAAGTGCTTGAAGCCTAGAGAATAAAACAGGCCATGTCAACAAATGGCTTTTTTTTTTTTTTTTTTTAATGAAATGACCTGCATAGAGTCCTCTAGCTCAGCCTGAACTAGAGAGGATAGCTCTTAACGGTTGGGGTTAAGAGACAACATTGAACAGATGGCCATACGCGAAGTCTCGTGTTAGGAGAGCTGTCACGGGCGACCGGGGCTGGACAGGAGGGCTAAGACCGCAGTGGCCAGAGCTGGCTCACGGTCTCAGAGGTTTGCAATAACAGGGAGACTTATCGGCTGGGAAGCTCCAGTCACGTGGTCACCGGCTTGCATCGGGTAACTGCTGTGATTTGTTTTGCTGATGTAATGCAGACATGCCCAAATTTAACATTAATTTTCATGCACTGATTACAACAAGATGTATACCCTGGATTAGGCACAAGATCTGTGTGGTTTGCTACAGCAAAGTTCAGTTACTTAGAATTCAGAAAAGCAGAAAATGGCAATCTTTTTGCTTTATGTTAGCTGGATGACTAACTCCATTGCTAAAGGAAAAATAGATGTCCAGGTTGGAAACCAGCTAATGTTACGGTCTTTGTAGATAATCTGTGGTCTTCATGTTGTACGTTCTAGTCCTACATATTCTGATCATATTGCCACTGTGAGAAATGGTGATATTAAAGCCTAGGATTCATTCTCTTAAAATATTTTCCATGTATGGAAATAGTTGTATATTAGATAAAGTCATATGGACTTTGGAGCTAAGTCATATGGCTCAAGAACCATGCAAAGGGCTCTTATGCAATATCAAATTGAAAAGGGCAAATTTTTATTTAAAACATCTGAGCCCATTCCCATTTTTTTCCTTCTGCTGCTAAGAAATGGTCATAATATCACTAAATACACTTATACACCCTCACAATTCTATATACCCACAGGTGCAGCTCAAATTATGATTTCTGACTGAGCTGAAAACTGAATAGACTTTTCCCTCTTTTTTTTTTTTTTTAAGTGTTGCTTTGACTTTGTGACTTTTTTTTTTTTTTTTTTTTTAATGCTTGGAGTACTGGGCTTGTCTCCTGCCACAAAAAGCCTTGTTTTGTGAGAACAAAAGAGCTGGAGGGGCCTGGGGAGGGTATGGGCAGGAGGGTGGGTGACGGCCAGGCCCTCTGTTGGCAGCTTCTTTTTCCCCTGCGATGTGTTTGAAGGGAACTGCTGGGCTGTTCACACATCTGGAGAGTGGTGTGAAAGGAGAGCAGTGAAGAGGAAAAGTTACTGGGCTACCTTGTCAATCACCCATTGGCTCAGATGAGGGACAGGAGATGGACAGGTGGCACGTCTTCTCAGACAGAGGCTGAAGGCCCCAATCCTTTCCCCACTGAGCACATGTCTGGCTGAGAGCCGCAGGGGCCTACCCAGCTCCCCTGACCTTTCCAGACTATCCACATGTGCGTGGATTTTTTGGCTCATGCTGGAGTTGAAAGGATCACTGCCATCCAACATATGCGTTGGCACTCTGAGGACTGATGAACTTTCAGCCCCTTTTTACAGCATGAAGACATCTTCAAGGAATCTTTTCCCGACAGCGTTTGGAAACTGCAGTTACTTTGGTCCTCTCTGAGGCCCTTCCAACGACTGAGGTCACATGGGCCTTTTCATCTACTCAAGCGTTTTTTCTGACCCAACACAGCCTTGGGATCTGGCTCGCCTCCGTGAGTAGCAAAGGCAGTTTGGGGATATTTCGGAATCTCCAGGGAGGAGAGGCATCAATATAGTTGGGGGAAAGCTACCCAGCTGATGACGACCCACCTCCTCTGGCCGTTCATTCCCACCTTGCCGTGAGGGTTGTCTATCCACTGGTATCATCGCTGTGTAGGTACCATGATGCCAGAAGGCATATGGGGAACACCCCATTAATCCGGCTCAAACTTATTTCTCGGTCTTATAGGTCCCTTCCTTTATGAACCAGTAACTGGCCAGAACCCTGATTTTTAACACAGCTAATGGGTTCTTTAAAATGAATTTCTGAGTCCTTCATCATGGTAGAGTTCAGTGGGCGGCCGAACGATTCTGAGCTGGGCGCAGCCTGCTCCATCCACATGGTGTTGTGCCTAACCCGGGGGCCGGGGGGGGAACTCCCCGACACACAGAAACCTCTCACATGTCGGCACAGACAATAAATGAGGCTCTGAAAGTAGGACCACTATGGCAGTAGGCGCCTAACACTGTTTCGGACCGAAGCCCCGACCACGACAGGGAAGTGTGCTCTATGCCGAGGTACACACCTCTTCCTCTGAACTGTCACTCGGGTCATTGTCTAGTGAGGCACTCAAGGAGGCCGCCTTGGGCTCCAGGTAGCAGAGGCACATAGCCAGAGGGAAGGAGAGAGTGAGGGCATATGGCACTGAGAAGGAGGCGGAGAGCAGAAAGAAAAAGATGAAGAGGAAACAGGGCACAAGGGAGGGTGAGCGAATTGGGAGGTAATGCTGCAGGCTCTGGGGGAGGAGGCTGGTTTCCGACAGGTTGGGGAAAGAGAGGTACCCATCGTCATCGAGAAGAGAAGGGAATGACTCCGGGAGCTGCAAGGAGAAGGAAAACAGGGTGGTCCCTTTGCCAGTTTGCTGTTTGTAGCTAAAAGCCACATCCTGGTCCCCTAAGGATGGCTTCCCTTTGCGGTCAGAGTCCACGGTGGGCTCTCCGTGCGCACGCATGGTGCCTCTGGCCGGCTCCAAGCCTGGGGCTTGGTGCTCATTCTCCTTACACCTCCTACGGAGTTCTGAGGGGGATGCGGGGGGACGATGGGCTGATGGGGGGGACAGGGGACATGAGTCAGTGCCAAGCCCAGGTGACTGATGTGGAAGAGACAGAGAGAGACAGAAAGCAGCAAACAGAGGTGCAAAAGGACAAAAAGAAAACTGCAATTAGTTAATTTTCTTATGGGTATCAATATAAAATTGTAAAACAAGAATTTTAGCACTAGGGTTGTTCACACTTAAAGTATTCAAGCTGCATGCCAACACTGCCATGAACGGCTACCGGTTTCCCGTTAGACTGTCAAATACAGAGTGGGCTTTTTTATAAAGTCAGAACAGAAGATATCAGTGGGCAATCTCAACGTCTACATGTTTCACACCATCCAAAAAGTTTGTTTAGACCAATAACTCTAGAAAGTTGTAGGGTTTTGAGAGCAAATAGGACTCTCTGAGAACTTAAAATCAAGACTTTCAATAACGTCTCCTGATCTCCAGCTAACAGATCTGTTACTACAGTTTGGTTGGATTAAAAAAATAAAAATGAATCCAAATTTTATTAAAAAAAATTTTAGCATTATCTTTCCACACTTAGTCAATTATATCCAAAACAGGTGGGTTTCCAAATCAAGAAGTTTCTGGCCCCACTCCCATCTGATAAGCACTGCCACTCAGGGAAGTCAGCAATTAGCATTTTAGGAACTCACCCTCCCCCCAGAATTGAGGTTCCTTCGAAAACGTCTACTTTGGCTCCTTTCTCCATGGTGTAAACATAACTTAAACTCAAATAAGGGTTTCAACAAGCTAACTAGCAAAAGAATGTGCCTTCTTGTGATATGGCTCATAAGCATTTAGTTTGCATTATTTGTGGTCCAGGCCTTGCCACAAAAGTGGTCCCTGTGAGTTCAGGCTTCTGGAGGGAGAGAGAGGCTCCTTCCATTCTCTGGGGTCCTGAGAGCCTCTCTGACCCCAGACAGTTTGCTCTGCAGGGGGTGGAGGGATGCTGAGCACAAGGGGAAGCAGGGCAGCCAGCAAGCTCCAAACAAGCCCTGGCACAGCTCAGAAGCTGCTGCAGCCCCAGGAGTTCAATTCAAGGTCACACAGAGCCTGAAGATAAGACTTCTGCCGCTCTCTGGGACTCTCTGCGTGTGTGAGTACGTGTGTGTGTTTGCACGCGCGCACACATACACGTGTGTTTTGCCTAGGGACTTGCTAGCATGGAAATTACCCACACCCTGCTTTGTAGAACCCAATCCAAACTTGGTAAATATGAAGACAGAGGGTTAGAACATGCACAGGTAAAGCTGTATCATGGATATTCTAGATTTTAGAAGTGTCTCTTTTTAGGTCTTAGACAAATACGTCTCTTTTCAATACTCGCATCTGACATTAAGCGTTGTGTTTTAAACATGACCCTACGCACATCTCATTCAATGGAGAATAATATAAAAGTTACAAGCTGACTTCTGCATGCAGACTATTGTCCCCTGGTGGTGGACGGCTGCCCAGTCACCTGGGGTGATCATTAGCCTGGGAAACAGGCCTCTTCTCAAAGGAATCTAGGGGACCAGTCTTTTAAGACCTATTTTCAGTGATACACTTTCATTTTGGTTAAAAAATGAGTACCCTCTTTGTTACTTTTTGAAGATGGAGAAGAATAAAATGAAGGTTTAATTTTCCATGCTGCTTATTCAAGTGGCTTTTAAAAGACAGCTGTGCACTGTGGAAAACAAAGACAGCCATCGACCTGCCTGCGTACTAGGTCTGGGCCACAGCCCTTCTGAGGGCATGTGAGTCAAAGTGCTGGCTTCTCAGAGATTTGGACAATGAGAGTCATAGTTTTTTATCTTTTTATTTTTCCATGCCATAAGTGGCAAAAGTGATATGGTTTAGTGCTGTATTTTATATAAATGGTTGGCTTTTCAAATTAAATAAGGAGAGACTGCCTGGGTGTATTTTTTGAGCACACTAAAAGTCATTTCCTTTATTGTGCCAGTTTAATTGCAGTTACACATCCATGAGAATTGTCGGTTGGCATGGGTGATTGCAGGAAATCGTGGAAATCATTTGCTTTTTGGCAATACTACAACCTTTTCCTTGTGTCCTATTTAAACGCTGCCTTGACTTAAATGGAAAATAAGAGTGTAAAAACGAAATTTAGGACAAAGCACGTTTTCACAGCAAAAATGATCCAAATATCCTTGCTGTCATTTCCTACCCTGTTTTTATTTGTGTTTGGTAAATAAATGATCTTATCCTAAAAAAATGGTGGGTAGGGTTTCATGTGGAATATTCTGATGTAACTACAATATGTTGTGGGTCTACCCTTCACTGTGTAATTCTTATCAAAAGGAGCATTTTTGTTGAGTCCCTGTATGTGAGTCCCTGCCACATAATCTACATTTAAGAAATAATATAGATAGAAGAACACTTTTGAGTCAAATCTAGGCAAGTTTTAGCATAATCTGTGAGTTATACAACATTTTTATTCTGTTATTTCTTTTTACTCTGTACATTCCAGGAGCAACTCTGTTTTTCCATTATCATCACACACAAACCCCTCTCAATATAGTTTTTTTTTTTTTTTTAACTTTTAGAGAGATGCTCTGCTACTTGTAATAAAACCCTGAACCAGAAGTAGGCTGTCTACACCTTTTCTGACTTCCATTTTTCTGAAAAGTTGCTTTACAGTACCAGATTACCAAAAATAAACATACTGTAAAATAAATAAATAAATACTGGGATGAAATGAAGTTTAAAAATTTAATGAATAAAACACCTTGGAGAAATGGCTGCTAAATTCACTTTCCATCTTCCCTCGCAATGTTCTGCTTTAATATCTCTTTTCAAAACATGTCTGCTCGCTACTTCGATGATTAGAGGGGAAGTAGTGTATAAATACACAGGCTGTGGTCACTCAGTTACTTGCAGTCAGAGGAATGGCAATGTGATTACTGTGTATCTAGAAAAATATACAGTACTCGGGTAGGAGAATGGGGCCAGAAACAAAGAGAATAGTTTTAGTGATAGTTCTGACATGTGAGCCCAAACAGAAAAGTGTCATGTGGCACTAAATGTATTTTTAAGATCTACAGACAGGACAGCTGTTGAAAGTCTTACATAACACATCAATTAAAATAAAAATTTTCAAGTTAAGAAGGAATCTTTCAGAAGAAAAATGTCGACAGAGGAAATCAGAATTTAAAAATTAATAATATGAATGTGACTAATGCTGAAATATGAATTACCTTAAGTCTTTTTTTTTTTTTTTAAGTAGGCTCCGCGCCCTGAGTGGAGCCCCACGTGGGGCCCACACTCACGACCCTGAGATCAAGACCTGAGCTGAGATCAAGTCAGCCGCTTAACTGATTGAGCCACCCAGGCGCCCCGAATTACCCCAAGCCTTAACACATTCCTGGTTTATAGCCTTGGAATGACTAGTTCTTCAAGGTCTAAGCAAGCGCTAGGAGGGAGCCCGGGAGATGTACCTTTCCCTCGTGCCGTGCTGCCGCGACCGGGGTGACTTCTTCCAGCCGTTTTCGCCTGCCCTCTTCCTCGTCCCGTTCCTCCTCGGCCTTTTTCTCCGGAGTCACGGTGGTGATCAAGTTGGTCTGAGAGATGCCCTTTGTTGTGGCGTACTGGCCAGTACCAACCTCTGCAGCAGACACAGAATCCTTCATGTAGATTTCATGGTTTTCATTCACTGATGCTAAAAGCAAATACAATGGGAGAAAAACGTCTGAAATAGTTAAGGCAGAAGGCAGAAGAACACCACCGGTTGTCCCACTATAGAAAAAAGTAGCCCTACCCACGTCTGTCCGAAAAGGCCAGTCAGCGCTGCAGGAACCTGCATCTAAGCACGAGCAGAGACTCATCTTTCTGGAGCTTCTAGACCAGTGTTTTAAAATGATTTAAAGGCTCATGGCTTGAAGCCACCAGAATAGCTCTCGGGCTCCCCGGTGAGGACGAGTGTGAGGGTGGATGCGGTGGAAGGGTGGGAGGCCGGGATGCTGCCAGCCTGTTACCCTCCAGGGTAACTGGCTGGACGCCGGTACCAAGCACTAGTGGCAGGTCCTGCAACTAACAGCAGCATTTGCTGCAGACAACTGCTCTCACCCACTTGACTCTGAACATATCTTTGGCAGGGCTGTTCACCAAGAAGCACTGAATTGGGTTTTTCAATTACGCTTATTAATAATGGTTAAAGAGTCCATCACTCCTACAGTCTTTCTTCGGAAAGATTAGACAATCTGGATGGCGACTCTGTGCAGCTGGAGTGCAGAAATGTTTTAATTTCTACTGCACTTTAAACAGACTACCATGACATGCATAGACTTATTCATCTCTGATATTTTGGGACGATAAGACAAATGTTGCTAATGAAATTCATGCAAATGTAAAGCATGCAAACATAAAAGATATAAGACACAGCCTTTCATCCCAGCTAAAATGTCTTAGTGAAAGATGCTTAATTCAGTTACATTTTTAAAGCCTGGTACTCATTATTTTCGGTTTTAGATACATACAACTCATTTAAACTTATAAATAATGCTTTTCAAATACACAGTAGCTAATCACAGGCAAAGCAGCATCAGCTTCATAGTTTAGAAGTTTAAAGTGTAAATGTATGAAAATATTCCAAAATCCTTTTATATTAGCTAAACTGTTTCACTGAAATATCTTCACTAAGATATTTTTATATTTCCTCATATTGATGAAAAAGCTCCTAGGAGACGCAAGTTCCCAATGAGCCAGCGAGGCTGTTCTGTGTAAGATGCAACCTGGCAAGAAGCAGTTGTGTTTCAACATGCAGCCACAGCACCCAGCCCAGCAGCACAGAAAACATACTAGAATTGGCAGGACCCCAAAGAGTGAGAGACAACACATACTAACATCATTTTTGGGCAGGGAGGAAGAGACAGTATGGTATTAGTACATTTATTTCACAATTGTCTTCTGTCAACACTCATTATCACACAAAAGGTTATGAGGAAAACAACATTCACGACAAATGTGTTCCCTTGGATATACATCGCTGAACAAAGTGAATGATGTCCGGGGAAAAAGGTGTGATTCTACAACAGTTCCCCCAACACTGACTTATAGAATACACAGGTTACAGAGATTCTCTAAAGGAGAAAGAAGAATAAATGGAACAAAGCAGTAAGAAAAGCTTCAGTGTTACAGTGAGTTATTTCAGCATCTTGATTCAACCCAAAATGGTCCTAATAAACATTTTATTCCAAAAGTCTGGCTCCGAGTTAGATATTCCAAAAAGAAGCAACTATTGGAAGATACAGAATGGTAATTAAATTCCTAGGCCAGCTCACAAAAGCCTAGAAGAATAATTATGAATGTAATTATTATTACACCTATCAAGAATGCTGTCACACCGTCTCATTCACTGTTTACAAATGGCTTTACTCCCATTTTAGAGACGATGACTAAAACCAAGACCTGGAGAGTCTAAATCATTCTCCAACCGCTACACAGATGGACTTCAGTCTGGATTTACCTACCAGGTAAGTGTTTTTTCACTTCACTAGTAACGTACATGATTCAGCACTAATGATACAATTTTGACTTCTATAAACTGTTTAGAAAGTATTTCATTAGAAAAATACAACCTTCTAAATCAGGGGATTCAGGGAGCACGTCATCCCAGCAGCCACGCTGGGGTACAGTGAAAGGGAAGAGAGAACTGGGACTATGGGAGTGGTGGCAAAAAAGGTATGGACGAAGATGATCCCACATATTTGTAACTTTTCATTATTTTTCCTTTATTTTTATTATTTTTATGTTTTTGATTATTAAAATTGTACACACATGCTAGAAACATCTGATTCCTTTTAAATACACAGGATAGGTCTTTTATAAACCAACTAATCTCCAGGTGCTTGGAATGAGAAAACAGAGACTTGGCCATGGCTCACTTTCTAAGTGAAGTGTTGTTGTTGTTGTTGTTGTTATTATTATTATTACAGCTGCCATGTGTTGTAGCTGCCATGTGCGTGTAACTACGGACAGCAACAGGAAACTTGCTTAAGACAGAAACCCATGAGAGACTCACTATTACGTCATTCCTTAGAACTGTTACTTCAGTGACTCTCTCCTTGTTGAACTTATACATCTGACTTAACCGTGGAGACCATTTACATGGCAATGCTCTCCCAGGCCATCTGGGGTAGTAATTAATATTAACTATTAATAATAACCATACTATTATTTGAATGTCATCCTTTCTATCGGCTATCATGCCTTGACTGGTAACAGTTACATTTTATCCATGAAAATTTTGTAGAAACAGATACATTTAACTTACAGTCCTCCTTCTGAAACAAATTGACTGAAACAAATCCCATAATCATTTCAGATCTGCCAGCAAGTGAACCAAATTACTTACAGAGTATGTGACAACTATATTCAGAATGATAGCGTTTTTCTCCAAATTCAGGGTGCCGGCTTATGAAAGCTATATTCTTCATTCCCTAAGTACCATTCTGTTATGGAATTTTATATAAATCTACAATAACAGACATTAGACTCACAAAGGTACTTTTTTTTTGAGGGTAGGGGTTAAAAACTTGCCACTCAGCCATAGACCAGGGAGTGCTTTTCATTTCATACTATTCAAGAAGAGCTACGTTTATTGAAAGCTTGTGATGGTTTCACACTATTTCTGGGTAGCCATTGATGATTCTTATTACTGAGGGATCTTATGTAATGCCTACCTCCATCCAAGCTACGAGACATGGTATAACGTTTGCTGGACGAGCGTTCGAAGTAAGGGGCAGGGCGATCTATCAATGCGCTGGCTCTTCTTGTTTGGGCTTGTGTCCTGCCACTATAACGAAACTTGGAGCCCAAGGTCAGGAATTTCTTTGGAGGTGCTTCTGGTAACAACAGTCTAGAGATATTAAGGAAAAAATACCAGAGACTCTTAAGTATTAAGAACGTTAACTTTTTTAGTCAAAGGTAAAGTGCTTTGTGTGCTAAAAGTTTAACATGTAACATGTTCAATGAATGTGATTTTATAGGGAAAAAAAAAATCAATTCCCACAGTACATATCAACCAGGGAGTTGTAGAGAGGCTATAAATACCACATGGGTTGGGACGGACTACATGAACTAAAATTCATCTCACACAACTGAGGAGTCTATGGTTCTATAAGCCCAAAGAGCAGTTAAAGAGGTGACATTATTTTATAGACATAAATCTGATAGTCTGAGCACTGTACGTAAGCAAAGGAATCAAGGGTGTTGAGAAATGACTGAAATAGTGGTGGACATCTTATAAAAATAATGAAAAGACACTAAAGATAATAAAGTGGACATAAGGCATATAAGCATCAGACAAATTAAGGAAGATCCTTCAGTCAGAAGTTTTTAGGATTTCTTATCAAGAAATCTGGTGACCATGAACTTGAAGGAAAAGGAAGGATATGCTTCCATATTCTTCCCAACAGAGTTTTGCAATATAAGTGATTCCAATCATTCTAATTCTTACTTAGGAAGAAAAAAAATCATCTTTACCTACCTGAAAAATGTATGATGTTCAACACACACTTTCCATAAACGCTTGGCAGCTCGATGGTTTGGCAGCTTAAACCCAATGGTGCTTTCAAATTGTTCAAACTAAATTAAAAAACAAGTAAACATATTGAAGAGTAAAGTCAAGTTTGCAATTATAAATAACATAAAAGCAAATAATTTACAAAATCATGTCCCCTACAAAAGTTTCCTTTACTCACAAAAACAAGTGCTATATGCAGAATTCATGTTATACACCTTCATTCATTAAAAAACCACCCTGTATCTATTCTCCTTAAAATGCTGCAGCCACAGATAACCACATTATGGGTGTAGTAAATGTTTTATGGACAAGTATGGATTTTATAAAAACAAAATGCAAAAAAAAAGAGGCTATCTGGGTTCCTTCCAGAGACCAATTTGTCCTGATCTCATTTTTAAGCCTTATTTTCATGATGTCTCTGTGACATCATGATTTCAACTGGAATGTACAGGAATGAGCAAAATGTAGCATTCTCAGGGTGATATTTTCTCCCAGGATCTGGTCAAAGAAGATGTATCTCCTAGGTATTTGATGACTTGGTATCAGATATTGCTGATTTTGTTTGTGCATTCTACTCTGGATTATCACGTTAGACACTAACATCTTTTGATTTTACATGTATGATCAGAGACTGGGAGAACACAATTTCCTATCTTTCAGCATGTATAGTTCAGATGATAATCAGCCATTTGCTTTCTCAAGGTAAAATATCTGACTTCCTGAGTAATATATTTTAATATTATTATTGCAAATGTTTGGGATTTTTTTTTTTTTAAATTTTCTGAAGACAGTATGCATCAGGCCACCAGAGGGCAACCATTTTAAACAGTAAAAGCTTTCCAAAAGAGCATAAAACAACCAGACTACTGATACAGTCAATAGAAAAAAAAAGTAATTTATGTAGCAAAGAACCCAGGGGAGGGGTTCTATGCATGGCATATGAGAGAGAACTATGCTTGACTTCTACTTATTTGAGTGGGACTAGCAGGGTTGGCGGGGGCGGGGGGAGAATGGGAAATACATCACAAGCTACTCCAACTCCCAACTAACTTTCCCAATTTTGTACTCACTCTGGATGTTCACATGTAGTGGTAGTCATAGCAATTGCTCTTGGCCAAGAGTCCCAGTCAATCGACAAGCCAGAGTATTACAATTGTGACTAACCTGTCCTCCATTTCTTCATCCTGCATCTAATATGTACCAAACACTATGCTAAGGCCAAGGGTTTTAAAGAACAATCAACCTGCTCTCTGCTGCAAAAAGCTGGGAATATTTCCTTGCTGCTATCCTCCTTAGACCAAAGATGACAGAGGCTTCTGCACTATTTGAATATTTATCTATTTCTCCATGCTTTGTACCAATGTCTTGACCTCTTCAGAGTCTTTGGTGCCACCAATGATTTTTTTCCTCATTCATTCTTCTCAAGCCTATGTATATGCTTGCAAAAAAAAGGGGGGGAGAAGAAGCCCAACTTTCTTTGAGCCTGCTTCTGCCTGAACCACAACCCCATCTCGCTCCTTGACAAATGTCAGGAAGGAGAAGCCATGGCTACTTCATTCCCCACCTCATCGCCACCTGGCAGGTGCTCCTACCACCTGCTTGAACTTTTCAATATCCCAGTGGGATCTGTCAAGTCCGAAGCACTTTTCTTAGTTCTTAGCCCACACGTCTTCCCTGTAGCATCTGGCCCTGCTGGTTCACCATGTACCCAGAGTTTGGTCTCCTTGTCATTCATGACTGTTCTTGCCCCTTTTCTTCTTTCTCTGGAGCTTTTGTTCATCTCCCTGTGTTCCTTTTCTGCCTACCCCTCCCTCAAAAAGGGATGTCACCCAGAATTTCTGTTTTAGGGTCTCTCTTCTTCTCTAACTTGCCTTGTTCTTTGGGTAATTTATTTAATGCCCAAGGCCTTGAATACAATGGATGCAGCTCATGACTCCTTCTAAACTCTATTTCTTACTATGCAAGAATCACCCCATGAAAATATATCTCAAAAGAATTTAATCTTTTTTTTTTCCCTGAAATTCTCCCTGTTTTCTCCCCTCATCTAGTAATATCACGTCCATCAGCTTCACTCGTGCCAACCAAAGACCTCTGATTATCCCGGACTCCCTTCCTCCATCCCGTGTCCAGCACCTACTGGCTCAGTTTCTGAAACCTCTCTCACGTTTGCTCCTTCTCTTCTGTTCCCATGACCTCTGCCCTAGTTGAGGTCTTAGCACATCTCATCACTAAGCTGCTGAGTTTCATTCCAAATTGTTCGTCTAGTATATCACACCTTCTCTAAAACCTTCCATGGCTCACTATTGTTTCCTGATGCATTTCTCCAACTTTCCCATCCGGGCCCTCACCACAGCATGCTTGCCCCATGTCTGCAGAGTATTTTATGTGCAAAATGTATCATGATGACATAATTCTAAGTACATGAGACTGTTTTTTGCTCAACAGAAAGTCCCTTAAGGACAGGAACAAGGTCATATTTATCTTTCTATTTCTAATGCCCACCATGGTGCCTGACAATAAGTAGATGCTCACTTGTAAATGTTTGATGAATCGAATATATATTGGTTATAGGGAATATAAAAAATTAGTTTCAGGTATTTATAGGAAAAGCTTACAGATTATTTCAGTCTTCACAGACAAGTTTGATTTTATATTTACATTAAACATGATTCCTTTTTTTAGGGAATATAAAAAATTAGTTTCAGGAATTTACATGAAAAGCTTACAGATTATTTCAGTCTTTAGGGACTGAAATTTTAAGGAATATAAAAAATTAGTTTCAGGTATTTACATGAAAAGCTTACAGATTATTTCAGTCTTCACAGACAAGTTTGATTTTATATTTACATTAAACATGATTCCTTACTTTATAGTGTGACTTTTTTAAACTTTTTAAAAATTGAGGTACAATTGACATATAACATTATACTAGTTTCGAGTGTGACATAACGATTTGATGTTTATATACACTGTGAAATGATCACACTAAGTCTAACAGCCATCACCACAGATTTTTTCTTGTGATGAGAACTTGTAAGATCTACCCTCTTAGCAGCTTTCAGATATAATATAGTATTATAACTATAGTCACCATGCTGCACATTACAACCCATATAATCTGATTTTTAAATCACATTTTCTACCAATGGAGAGGCTGATTTTGAAGACAGAAAAGAATTCTGTGCTGTACCAGAAAATGTTCAGAGACACAGATAAGCTGCATGCAACCTTAGGGCTCTGACTGCCTCCATTAGATTAACCATGCTCATTAGAAACTGGATATATTTATTCATCATCTGTTACACAGGAAACAGGAGATATTTACCACCTATTATGTATAAACCACTATGAAGGATCTAAGATCAGGATGGTTTTACCTAGGGAACAAGGATTAGTCGACAATTTTTATTTTTTTCACCAGCCTTTCTGATTAAAAGAAAAAGGCAGCAATGTACTAGGCTATGAGACATCTGCATAATTTATCCTTGGTGTCTCTTGCTCTAATCTTTCTTGTACTTTTATCACATTATCTCGAAGTTATTCATGCTAGGGTGCCAGCAGATTTGGAAGACGAAAAGGGCATGAGCTCATAAAACAGGGACAGATGGGAAGAAATCTATTCTTTATTCACAAAAGGTTTAGCACCTCAGAGTTTCTTTTATACCATGATTTGAGATCTATGAAACATTATTCATGCATCTTGATGTTACGCTAAAATCTGCAAACCTAAAAACTTTTCCATCTATGCAGTGGGACAAAATTAGAACCAAACCATTAAAAAGAAGAGAATATTTTACTTATTGTTGCTTATCAAACAAACCTACAATAAATTCTCTTAGGCACGGACATATGACTCACCATGTCCTATGATGCTCAAAACCTGGGACTGGCAATTGACATTTTTGTTTGCTACTGGGTACCTTTCTTTCCAATGTCCACGCAAACTGGGGGCCTACTTACCTCTCCCGGCCGAATCTTAATGTAAAAGTTGTTCCGTTTGTATGAAATTTTTAGAACCTTGGGCCAGGCAAATCTGTTGATTCTCAGTCGGTCACGATATATCAACAGACCACTCGCACAAACTCCTAACATAATTTCTACTCCTTCAGAATCCTGGAAAATGGCATCGAGAAACAATGGGTCAGTATTTCACTGATTTCCACTTACGGTGAAGTGTGGCATTTAATGCACCACAGTTTTCCATGAAGGAACTTGTAACTGACTGCCGACAGCTCTAATTTCAATAGGAAAAATACTGCAGCCATTTTTTTTTTTTTTTAAAACGTTGCCCCTAAATAATCGGCTTTTAGTGAAGGTATCTATCACTATGGAGATCTGTTAGAGTAGAACTGGCTCACCCGATGTCTCATGACGTAAATACTGCACAAAGAGACCGACCAGATGATGTGTTGACGACGGTGCAAACAATAGAGGCAGGTCTCACGACTGAGCGCCAGTCACGGCTCTCACCAGTTCATGCATGTCATGTTAACTCCCTTCGTCTTCACTAGGAGACTTTGAGATGGTTGCTATGACTCTTCCTAGTTTACAGATGAGGGAACTTTTAAAGCATGGAGAGGTTAAGTGTCCACCCCAGTTGAGTATCAGCAGCCTGGTTCCAGAGGCAGGGCTTTCAACTAATATGTGTACTAATACAGAGGTCTTGTCCTTTCTAATGACTGTTTTGGAGTTTGTTCCATTAAAAAAGAGCCTCGATCTTTTTTATACACCATTAGTGTCAGAATAGAATTTAAATATAAAATAGGCTTTTAAAGTATGAGCGTACTTCCCCAACATGTCCCTAACACACCAATGCCCAGTCATAATCGGGACAGCTGTGTCACATACATAAATACAGATACATTTTCTATAGGTCTCTAGTTTTCTTTTTTAAGTGGGAGCTTGCTATATTTATAACATGCTTGTTTGCTACTTGCACGTTTCATCTTTAGGTCATTTCCTAGGGATGTGTGATGAGAAGTCTCAGAGGTCATCGGAGAGGTCATATAAAGCTCAGGAGACATATCATGGACAGCCGATGCCCCTTAAATGCTATATTTGGGTGAAATTGGGGTAAAAGGAACGTGTGGTGGTGGAGAGGATAAAGGACGGAAGGCAGGACTCTGTGTGAGGCTCAATCTCCACCTCCTCGTCTTGTGGATGTTGGAAGCAGAGGGCACCTAGGAGGCAAAGCTGAGGTCTTTTGTCACATTAATCGGCAGAACTGTCCCTGGCACTGGGTCACTCTGTAGCAGCAATGAGGGGAGGGGGAAATGGAAGAATCCAAACAGGAGATTCTGACTCATCCATATTGTGGGAATTTACTTCCTGAATCTTGTCAGTGCAAGACATGAAATGAACATTTCCAGAATCAAAAATAAGTATTTTGGTCCATCTCTGGGAAATGTAAGTCCACAAATACAATCTAACTGGATTAAAAATGAAATATTTTACCATGGAAATGGATGACTCCATTAGATATGAAATTACTCTACAGAGGTGGAAATACTTGATGGCAGGATATTACAACATAATTAAATTTAAGGAGAATTCAAAGACCAGAAACTGCCCACCATTTATCAAGGGCTTTAATCTGAAAGAGCAATTGGAATAGCTAGAGCCTGATGCTGACAAGTAGCTAGCACTACTGATCCTTTAGAACTGGCCAATCTGCTCCCAGGGCTGCTCAGAGGTGACCCCCTTGCCCCACGAGCAGAGATGCAGGCATGCGGGAGGACCGTCTGAGTAAAAGCTCCTTGATTCACTTTCTATTTTATCTGATAAATACAGAGTTAAAACCTCTTTCACTATTATCTACTTTAAAATCATCCTTTAGTGTCTCTGGATAATGAGAAGACAGATCCTTCACGGGGAAGAGCAGGAAGCCTCCACTGACCCCTTGTCTTCTGCTTGCCTCCACCACACACTTCTTTGTGTGTCCCCATATTGTTCTGTTGTTACCAGCACATCCCAAGCAAGTGGTGTGGCAATGAAAACCCATTTCCTCCTCAAGCCTGGACGCTGCTTGAGAGCAGGAGCTCTGTTACATCCTTGTAACCACGTGCTCCTCATAGAGTCTACCTGGTATGCCTTAAGCCATTACATGTTTGTTAGAAGAGAGGGCAAATGAAGAAAGAAAATGTCAGGAATATGTGGGGCTTTAAACTGAATGAACATTTCCATTTCATTAATCCACAGCAATGACAAAAAAAAAAAATACTTTGGATATCGAATCTTCTGCCACTGCCCATAGTCCTGACGTTAGCTTGATAGATCTTTTGCATTGAAAGCTGTAATGGCAGTCTTTCTTGGGGACACGTGTGTTTCCCTATCAACAGACACATTTAATGCTCCCTTTAGTGGGGAGCATGGAAGGAAGATCTGGATAGTCTCAGTCTTTCATAATTAAAATAAACGAGTGTATTATTCCCTTAATTTAAAACCACTGTTCAAACTTTGCCATCCTTCATTTATCACTTGGTCCATGGGATATCCAGTAGGGATTTAGATCTACATTTCAGAATCTTATATGAAATGACTCTGACAGTGCCTACTTGGGCTGACATTAAATGACAAACAAGAAGAGACAGTCTTTCTAAGAACAAAACCAAAGCATTTAGGATAGGTTTTCCAAAACAAGGGCCCTTCATCTAATAATACGTTATTTATTCTTTATACAGAGCCACAGAGTCCAAGATCACAATTCAGAATTTCTAAATAGGCCCTAAAGCTTAGGGCCTTTCATACCATCCACAGAAGAGAATCATCTCACTTACAACCGGAAATTCGCTCTAATTTAATTCAGTAAATTTCCTTCTTGAAATGATGGACTGTGGCTGCATGAGAAAATGGGAAACCACAAGGGAACATTCATTATACTTAATATTCAGATGAAATCCTATAATAGGCTGCATTTCTGCTTCCTTCTTTCTTTTTAATTGGCATGATTTCAAATCATATTAGTGAATGAAAAAGCAGCGACCTATTTTAATTTAGTAGCTACAGCAATGTTAAGTGATTTTATTTGTACTGAAAGGAACACTGATAAATCCTGAGTTGCACTTTCCAAATGTATGCCCTAATCTTTTATTTGTTTATTTTTCCTGGGTGGTAACTGAATCATCGTGTATAATGTAACTCAAAAATAGCTTTCAATCCACTCAAATTTTCAGGCTACCTTCATTTCCTTCTTGTCTCCTTATCTGTTAGCCACCTAGGGAAAGACTCGAAGATAAAAACGATCTTCGTGTGGGTCCTTGTTTTCTTTTTTAAATCCTTATCCTACCTTATACAACATAAAATATAAAACACTTTCTTATCTGAGTGAAAAATAAGTGAAAAAATAGAATAACTGGCAAGTAAACAGAGCTACACCTGCTGCTGTAATTACATACAAATGTCAAAGAGCTTGGCATTCAATGTACGGGCACATCCCTAGGATGCTCCAGCCAAGTCTCCGAGATTTTGCTTGTGTTCAGACCTTCCGGCCTTGGAAGTGCTCATCCTGTATGATGTACAAAATGATCCACAGATTGTACCCATCAAAACCTGTATTTGTTTGACAGCCATCATTTTCTTGTCCAAACTCAGCGTGGATCAGTCTGCTCCCCAAGAGCCAACCAGGGAGTGGCCCCACTTGCAGTGTCAACAGAGCCTACATATCATAGATTTCCCTTCCATGGATCCTCAGGGCTGTCAAGATGTTTGCTTGAACAGAGCCAGCTGAAACTCTCTTCATTTCTTGGCCTCAACCTATACTGTGTCAGAGACTCACATGCCTGGAAGCCTGTAAACTGCACGTTCTTTCGGGTCTCAGGTCATGGAAGTGGTGACTGCTTGGTCCATCAGTAGTAAAGGCATGTTCCTGTACATAAGTGATAGTCTCTTCACAGCCAAAATCAGAAGGAACTGCCCTTGAACTTCAAGCACTGACCTTTTTTAATGTTACTTAAGTACCAGAATCCATCCCTAAGAGCCTAACATATTTCATAAGCTTTGGATGGAAGTTTTCAGGAAGCTCGTCTGTGCTTCTACAGTACTTTTATTCACAGCTGCTCAAATAATAGACAAACAGTCCATATACTCATTCTCTCACTGTGGAAAAATAGAGAGATTCTGGGAAAAGTGTGATCTGGAGTCAAATGTTTTATGCATCCTCACAACCTCAACCCTCCTACAATCCAATTCCAACTTCTTCTTTGAAAGACTCTGTGGCCAAGATAGAGCTTTAACACTTTGCCAATCACCAATCAGTGAGGCAATCCTTAGCTTCGGGGCTTAATTTTAGTTGAACTTCAAAATCTTATCTCAAAGCACTGATTATGGGTCAGAGAACCTAAGTTCTAGAGAGAGTTATTTAAATTTCACATGAATTTGTTGAGCGCCTGGTAAGCATCCAGAACAGAGGCACCAACAGTACTTGGCACATAAGAGATGTGTTAACTGGGTCTTTGACAACTGGCCAAGGTTGGACAGGTAGAGAGAAAGGAGGAGCACAGCCCAAAGACAGGCATATTCAGGGAAGAGGCAGAGACAGGATCTGGCAGAAGCAAAGGGCACATGTTGGCACAAAGTGGGAGATAAAACTGTGACGGGGAAGGGGGCTGAGTTAGGAGCTTGTTATGTGAAGATAAATTTCTAAATGAATCCATGGGCGATATGAGGCTTTGCCTACTGAGGGCTTTCAGTAGCTGAGGCCAGGAGTAATGGGAGTTTGAGACATGCAAAGCAAACGCTTCAGTAAAATATCAGAGAGCTGAATTTGCCTTATCATTGAGTGGGACTTAAAGCAAACACAGATTTGAAGTAAAAATCACCAACTTATAGTAATAACAACACTGAATTAAATAAAATTAAATAGGAAGTCTGGGGTTTAAAAAAATGCATACCTTGGCATGATGTAAATCAACCCCATACATGGACAGTTTTTTGGCATTTTCCAAGAAATGCATCTCTGCTTCTGCTGGCGTCATTCCTCTGATAAGAAAAAAAAAATGTTACAATGCTGCTTTTCTTTTACCTGGCAGGGCTGCAGTATTTCCCACTTAGCCTAGCTATCTCATAAGAAAGCCCCACAGAGGCACCAGCAGATTCATGTTCTGAAGGGGGTGGCAGAGAATAACAAGAAAAATGGCTTTTATTTTTTTAAAAGATTTTATTTATTTATTTGATGGGGGGGAGAGAGAGAGAGAGCACAAGCAGGGGGTGCAGCAGAGGGAGAGGGAGAAGCAGGCTCCCCGCTAAGCAGGGAGCCCGATGCAGGACTCGATCCCAGGACCCTGGGATCATGACCTGAGCCGAAGGCAGACACTTAACCGACTGAGCCACCCAGGTGTCCCAAGAAAAATGGCTTTTAAAGAACAACTGAATGGGGTTCCTGGGTGGCTCAGTCAGTTAAGCATCTGACTCCGGATTTTGGCTCAGGTCATGATCTCAGGGTCAAGAGATCGAGCCCCATGTCAGGCTCTGCCCTGAGTGTGGAGCCTGCTTAAGATTCTCTTTCACTCTCCATCTACCCCTCCCACTCCTGCTCCCCTCTCCCCGTTCTTTCTCTTTCTCTAAACAACAACAACAACAACACCTGAGGGAGAGTGTAACTACCCCAGAGCTATACCAAGTACAGAACCTCACTCTGCTACGGTCCCAGCCTCAATGCCACTGAAACTCATCCTGGAAGAAGCAGGTAGCACAGGTGACGCTCACCCATCAAGGCACAAGTGAAATGTTCTCAGGGTTTCTGCCACTAACCTGTGGCTCTTGTGCAGCTCGATCACTTTATCTTCCAGTTCTTTCGTGTGGTTTGGCGCAAAGCGGAACTCACTAATGTAATCATTCCCACATTCATCTGGGTCATAGTCTCCAAGTTCGGACTGGACAGTGTAGGAGCCCAGCAGGGCCAGGGTGACAAAGGAGCAGGGCAGCCTTCCGGACACAATGTCATCTCGCAATTGTAGGCAGAGGTAGTACCTTCCAAGAGCCAAAAGACAAAGCGAAAAGCCAGCATGAGGCCATGGGAAAAGCAGGCCACTTGGTACAAACTGTGCTGTAAGCAATTCCTTCCTGTCGAATAATCTCACTAGGACACGTTTTGTAGCATCTGTATTTTGCTTTAGATCTAAGGGGAAAATACTTGGCTATAAAGTATAATATTTTGTGTTATACAAATGTATTTTGTATTATACAAATAAGGGCATTTTGAGGCAAGTCAATGCTCATAATAAAACAAGGTTTATTAATAAAGCACCGAGTAGAAGAAACCTCAAGACATATTTCTTTAACATCTTTTAAAATAGCTAACATTTAAACCCAAATCAATGATTCTCCCCAACACATTCCCTGAAATCTCTGGTTGGGGGAATTATAATACAAAAATGGTGCGATTAAATGCAATTGCTAAGCTTCTACCAGCCTTAAGGAAGTGTCATTTTGATGTCTTGGTTAAACATCCTGCCGGATGAGCAGGGCAGATTTCAGGTAACTCACTAGCTACACCATCATAAGCTGCTCCCAGCTGCCTGCGTTTCTGACGCAACAGTCTCCTTATAATAACACAATTTCTCCTGTTTCCAGTCCTCATTTTTTTTATTTAGAGAACTTCCTAGAATCCAACTGATACGAAGACTAACTCTGAAGAATTACTACTTTAAAATCTGAGAACTTCATCACTACAAGTAAACAGCTTTATACTCAAGGAAAAGAAGATATTTTCCATATAATGTGGCCAAGATAACATACAGCTATCTCCACTGATAGCTGACTTCTCTTCTCTGCTTCTTGCTTTTCAAGATTTACAGATATAATACTAACTGCAGGAAACTCCAAGGTAAGGGTTAACATTGATGACTCTTAAAAATACCTTTCACGGCCCAGCATATAGGTATAATAAAATATACTTGCACCTTTCATGTAAGAAATATGAAATCTGTTTTATTAACATAAAAATATGTTAATCTGTTGAAGAAGACGATGATGATTAAAGCCTTAAGGTCCCCTCTAAATGGATTTTAAGCTGATGATATAAGTAAACTCCATGTAATACAGAAACAGAAGTTTCTACACATCCCACAGGCTCTCAAACATTGCACAAATAGAAAGGAACCATGCACTACATGTCAAATCCAGGTATATGTGGCTCTATAACCAATAAATTAGCCACAGTTAAGAGGTTCTTCAATATTACTAAAAAGTGTCTTTAAATAAGAAATCATAAATTTTCCTTGATTTAATACAAATATAAAAGAATTCCTTTGGAACTATTTTTTACCCTTCTCCTAATACGTCTGGTCATAGCCAGTGACTGGAGCTTTAGCATGTGAGGCTTACACAGAAAATTCAGCGCGCACTGCACAGTGTCACTTTGATTGGCTGTAAACTTACTACCAAGCAGCACGAGAGAGTCAGCGGTTCCAAAGCAGGATGTGGAGAAGCCTAGAACACATGGCAAACCCAGCATAGCCTCCTAAAGGGAATCTCCTCGCACACCCAAAACTCAGTCACCTCACTAGAATATTTTTCCATTAGTTTCCTTTCTTCATGTCTTCCTTCCCCAAAATGAACGAATCATTTTCCCTGTACAGACAGGGCAGGGAGAGTAAATTCTTAGATGAGTCCATGTTTATGTGTAGCTCTGCATTTTATGTCTGATTCTTTAAATAGCTGTTGAGTATCAGACTGGTTATATAAAAGGCATAAGCATCCAAAGACACATTTCTACTGTGAGTTTTGGAGCAGGAGCACTAGGAATTGCCAGATCATTTAAGGCTGAATCCCATCCAGTTTGACAGTGGTGGGTGGATGACAGTATCTCAATTCTGCACATCTTCCCGCCAAGGTCAGAGAGACAGAAGTAACAGCTTAGCACCAAAGATTCAACTGTGAATGGATACGATTTGGCAAATCTTCTCATCAGATGTTTGCTCTTGCTCAGTTGCCTTTGGCTTGCCATTTCTGGCGTGGATGACTGAAAGGTTACCAGATGTAAGCAAGCTCTTCCCCGGAGAATAAAGAGAAGCCTGCCTTTTTCATAGCCAACTTTCAAATACCTGGTGATATCTTCAGATAGCTGGGCAGGGTCTGGTGGGTAAAATTTCACATTAAATGAAAAGTGCCAAGCACCACCTGCAGAGATGAGAGAAAAATTAGGATCAAACCTTAGAAAATCCCTTTATACTTATCACTCTGATAGTGAGAACTGCCTTAACTCCAAGTACTAACACCCAAGCAACATTTGCTCCTCAGTGGAAAATGGGAAAGTCTCAGGTTCATTTCATCTAGTCTTTAATCTTTTCTCCAAATCCTTTATTGGTGCTTCCAACTAGCCTGGAAATTGACTAAACTTCCTCCCTTTCTCAGGGACAAAGGTAAGCCTTTGCAAGAGGGGAAAAAAAACCCACAAATGATAGGGATAATCCTCAATCAGACAAGTCTGGAAATGACTGGACCTGCTGCTCTGAAATTCTGGATAGCTCACATACCAACAGTACAGACATAATCCCATTTCCTTTGTCCTTTCTGCTTTGTTATTACAGGTCAAATCCCACTATAATACATGTCAAGGAAATTTCCAAGATAAATTTTAAGAATTTTTTTTAAGATTTTATTAATTTATCTGACAGAGGTACCAGCCAGGGAAGCAGCAGGGAGAGGGAGAAGCAGACTCCCCACTGAGCAGGGAGCCCGACGCCGGGCTCGATCCTAGGACCCCGGGATCATGACCTGAGCCGAAGGCAGACGCTCAACTGACTGAGCCACCCAGGCGCCCCTCAAGATATTTGTATTTTATGGGAAGGTTTGTCGTAGTGAACATTTAAGTGAGCTGTTCTCTGAGCTGCTGAAAGTTCTTTTTTTATGTGGCGAAACTATTGACTCAAGAGATGCCTGAATACATGACCTGTGCTTTATAAAACCGTCCACCTCCTTATGAGCCCACAACTCGGACACAGCCTCTCCTTACGACCTCTGCTCCAGCAATGAAAACCATCAACCAGGTGGCAGCTCACAGTCACCTACTCTCTGTACTGCCCACACTTAAACTTGAAGCATCGTTAAGCCTTCCTAATTAAGCTCTCCATTTTATTAATACCATCTCTATTGGTGTCTGGTTTATCATTATAAACATGGAGAAACATTTTCTTCTTTTCTACGTTTCCTCTCTCTCTACCTGATCACTCCTTTAACTCATATTCACTTCGTTCTTTTCTTCTGTCCTTTTAATGCAGGAACTTATTAAAGTCTGGGTGTTCCTTCACTGGACGTTTGTTCTCCCCATGCAATAACCACGAAAGTGCCACAGCGTCGACCCCGCTTGTATTCTGAATGCACTACTGAAACATTCCTCCCAGTCTCCTTGGCTTCTTTACTGGAACCTTTCATCTACACCACAAGCTGCAGCCACTTCCTTTCACTCCATGATTCTGTGACCTCAGAGTCCAGCCCTTATGCCTCTGATATCCCCCTAAGATGCCCAAACACCCCCTCTTCCCCATTAAATGACTTCTGGAAACTCCATTTTCTCTACAAGTCCTTTGCAAACATTCAGAAGAAAGGGGCAGTATTCTAAGTACCAGCTTCTTTCTTCAGGCTATTCTCTTGAGTATGAGGCAAATACTTAGCTGCCTTGGTTACCTACATTTCTGTCATAAGTGGCACAGGTACATTTATTAGTTCTAGTTTATTCTCAACACTACCATTCATAATACACTTAAAATTCCACACGGCAGGATCACCACCTGAGGTGCCTCATAAAGAACTGGAATAATGCCAGGTATCACTAATTGCTTACTATCATTTTCAAATCACTCAGAAAATATTCCTAAAACACAGGCTATAAGAATTAAAAGGTATCTCTCAACCTAATATATTTCTAGTGATTATTTTTCCAAGTCTTTTTTGTTATTCAAAAAATGGTCTGATCTGGTTTTACTTTCCTATTGATTCCTACGCACCTTCTGCTAAAATGGATCCCTTTACTGCTTGCCAATAGTGAGGTTCATAAATGAGAGCTGGCTTTCCCCCAAGCAACTGGAATGAAAACTAACGGATTAGTTATGGGAAATGGATTTATTGCTCTTTTATCATTTTTATCCATTTCAAAGTACGCCTTGAACCCAATGAGTAGTTTATCAATGTAATTAAACAATCTCATAATAAATTCAAGATAAACTTAGACATCATAAAAGCATAAGAATGAGGGGTGCCCAGGTGGCTCCATTTGGTTAAGTGTCTGATCTGACTCCTGGTTTTGGCTCAGGTCATGATCTCCCGGTTGTGGGATTGAGCCCCACATCTAGATCCGCGCTGAGTGCTTAATCGGCTTCAAATTCTCTCTCCCTCCCCCCTCTGCTCCTCCACTCGTTTGCATGTGCACACACTGTCTCTAAAATCAAATCTTAAAAAGTATAAGAAAGATATTTCAAAGCAAAAATTCTCATGGCAGGAAAAGAATTTCAAACTATAGTTGGCTTAAGCATCTGAGGTACTTGCTAAAAATGCCCATTTCTAGGCTCCACCCAGAGATTTTTATTCCAGAGATTTAGAATATGGCTGAGGAACTTGTGGTTTTAATAAACCCCCTTGTGGTCTGAGTACAGGTGGGCTTGGGGACCATAGTCTGAAAATCACTAATCCCAAGGAATCCATTTTCATGAGGTTATAACCCAAATAACTGCAAGGTTTTGTGGGGTATTATTTTTAAAGAGTGGGAAGTTTAAAAAACTACAATCTACACCCTAGTCAAGAAAAAAAAATCTAAATAAAGCATAAGATTTGAAATTAACGAGAGGCAGATTAAAGCTCAAATATATATCCCCATAAAGAATCTGATAGAAACAAATTGGGTGGGAAGCCATGATTATGTAATGAATGCACTTGCAAGCCTGAATCTGCCCAGATGATGGCCCTGGTTAGACACAAGATATGAATGCATTAAAATGATATTCCTATAATGTTGATAGATTTCAAATCACAAATTTATGATGGAAAACTATGAAACTGAAGACAGTTCGTTCTCATAAAAAATTCTAATTTTAGTATTACATGGCTGCCATATCTTAAAAACTTTAAATATACTGCATTCACAGCATAAAATTACTATAAATTACTATATATAGTATATAGATCATATACTTTATATCATGAAATTATTATATCATAAATATACTTATATCACAAAATATAGTATATTTAGAAATTTAAACAGCTGGGGGGTGCCTGGGTGGCTCAGTTGGTTAAGCGTCTGTCTTGGCTCAGGTCATGATCCCAGGGTCCTGGGATCGAGTCCTGCATCGGGCTCCTTGCTCTGCGGGGAACCTGCTTCTCCCTCTGCCTCTGCCTCTCTCTGTCTCTCATGAATAAATAAATAAAATCTTAAAAAAAAAAAGAAATTTAAACATCTGGGTCTGCATAAAAATGACTAGAATTATAATTTTTTTATAAGAGCAAACTTTTCAGTTTCAGAATTTTCTATTTCTCATCAATTTGTAACTTAAAAGCTTTATCAGGTTGACTGACATTCTCTTGAAGATCTAGAGACATTCTATGCACCTACAGCATGAAAAGAACGGAAACATCCTTTAATCATTTATGTGTGTGTGTATCTATATGTATACCCACATATTCATCGAAGTGTAGTTGACACTCAATATTTTATTAGTTTCAGATGTACAGCATAGTGAATTGACAGCTCTAGACATTACGCTATGCTCACAAGCGGAGCTACCATCTGTCACCATACAACACTACAATACCATTGACTATATTCCTTATGTGCTATCTTTCATCCCTATGACTTATTCATTCCATAACTGGAAGTCTTGTATCTCCCACTCCCCTTCACCCATCTTTGCCCATCCCTCCCTCACCCCTCAGCAGCCATAAGTTTGTTCTCTGTATTTGTGGATCTGTTTCTTTTTTGTTTGTTCAGATTCCACACATAAGTGAAATCATATGATGTTTGTCTTTCTCTGTCTGCCTTATTTCACTTAACACAGTACACTCTAGGTCCATCCATGCTGTTGCAAATGGCAAGATCTCATTTTTTCTTATGGCTGAGTAATATTCCATTATATATATACCACATCTTCTTTATCCATTCATCTATTGATACTTGGGTTGCTTCCATTATCTTGGTTATTGTAAATAATGCTGCAATAAACACAGGGGTGCATACATCTTTTTAAATTAGTATTTCAGTTTTCTTTGGGTAAATATCCAGTGGTGGAATTACTAGATCATATGGTATTTCTATTTTTAATTTTTTGAGGAATCTCCATACTGTTTTCCATAATGGGTACACCGACTTACATTCCCACCAGTAGTGCAAAAGGGTTCCTTTTCTCCACATCCTCACCAACACTTGTTTGTTGGTGGGGGGGTGGGGGCGAAGGGGCAGAGGGAGAGGAAGATAGAGAATCTTAAGCAGGCTCCACGCCTAGGGTGGAGCACAACTTGGGACTCGATCTCACGACCCTGAGATGGTGACCTGAGCCAAAATCAAGAATTGAACGCTTAACAGACTGAGCCACCCAGGTGCTCCTGTTGTCTTTTTGATATTAGCCTTTCTGACAGGGGTAAAGTGATATCTCATTGTGGTTTTGATCTGCATTTCCCTGTAATCATTTATATTTAGGAAAAGGAGGTGATGGTACAATAATTCCATTAGATATAACAGTTCTCTGCCTTGGTAGAATGTAAATTTTGTGGAAAGAGGGCATGTGGGTGCATGGGAAACAACGAATATAGATAAAAATACCAAATTCAATTAAAAAGTTCCAATTGTCCTTGTTTCCTCCATTATTTGCAGGATTGCCACTTAGTTCTCTTTATGTTGCAATCACAGATACTGCCTAATCTACATGATGAAAATATCCTTTAAATCTCATGTTCTGATTGTCCTCTTTCTTCTCTTAGAAAGGAAGGTAGGAGGGGCGCCTGAGTGGCTCAGCTGGTTAAGCATCCAACTCTTGGTTTCAGCTCAGGGTCGTGAGATCGGGCCCGCAGAAGGTAGAGATAGGATAAATGGGAAGTTGAGGGGAGAAAAAAAAAGAATTCCATTAACAACAGATAAGAAAACTGACATTAATATAGCTTTTCTTCCACCAATATTGTGATTTATCCCTGAATTTTTAATATATTTTCAAAGGGCTTTGCAATTATAAATCACCCAAGTAAGAAACAGCATTTCATTAATTAGGTGAATACAGAGGACTTTATGCACACAATATGTTAGGATATATATTCAACACATCTGCTTTCAGTAACTCCACAGAAGGATTCTTAGAACATATTCATCATCTTACATTTTTTATTAGGACTCTTGGAACAAAAAGAAGGAGTGTTTTCACAACTGGAGCTGTCCCTGGTTTCAGTCCCAATTTATTTCTATCAAACTTGATTATCAAATTTCTCTCATAAATATGGTAAAGAGGGGCACCTGGGTGGCTCAGTTGGTTAAGTGGCTGCCTTTGGCTTGGGTCGTGATCCCAAGGTCCTGGGATTGAGCCCCACATCGGGCTCCTCACTCAGCAGGGAGCCTGCTTCTCTCTCTGCCTGCCACTCCCCCCTGCTTGGGCTTGCTCTCTCCCACCCCTCTCTGTGTGTCAAATAAATAAATAAAATCTTTAAAAAATATATGGTAAAGATGTTTTAGTTGTATACAGAATCATCAGTCTGTGTAATATCTAGAAGTAGAGTGGCTTTTTTTGAGATATTATCTACTATTAAACCATTTCAAACTGCTCACTACTAATTACTTTTTATTAGTACTCAATGTATTTTGATATCTCAGCATATTCAAAGACAATGGAAATACTTGCTCTTTTTTAATAGGAAACTGTTGAAAACTTCCATGGCCATAACATTCTTATTAATGAATTGGTTTTAAATTTATTCTTCAACTAGAATTAGTTGTTTGAAAAAATTTACCAATTTTATTGACAAAAAATAAATTGCTTTAAAAAATTAGTTATTTACAATTATAAAGATTATCCATGTCTATGGTAAAAGAGCTACAGAAAAGGGTTAAAAATAAAAATAAAAATAATTCCTCTTTCTCAACCCCCTATACTATGGTGCCACTTCTGGAGGTATTTACTATTGACCTTTTGTGCTCTTCCAAAATTTATTACATACATATGTATGTATGTATGTATGCATATGTATATATATGTGTGTATATATTTCTTTATATACATATATATGCATAACTTAAACAAATGTCACTTGTCTCACTAAAGACAACTAAGACACATTCTATCTGATTCTATTAATAGTTGAAATACTTAGCTTAGTATTTCAAGGTATTGTTATTCCATGACTGATTTAATCAGTTCTTTATAAATGGATATTTAAGTTGCTTCTAGTTTTCTGCTATTGCAAATATTATAACAAACTTTCATGCAGGTACACATACACACATTTTTCCCTCTAATACATATGCTGGGTGAATCTGTACAAGTAAAATTAGGGGTCAAAGAATAAGCACATTTTTAAAATTTTAATAAATACTGACAGAGTACCCTCTTAAAGGATTGTACCAATTTATACTTCTACTAGCTGTGTCCATAGTTGTTAGTGTAGTGCATTAATAAACTTTAAAATCTGTTAACCCGAATACATGAAAAATGGTGTCTTGTTTTAATTTGCATTTAATGGTTAGTAAGATTCAGCAACTTGTCTCATACTCACTAGCTACCTGTCTTTCAGTTTTGTGAATTGCCCTTGCAATTGTTAGGAAACATGCGTTTCTTAACTTGCCTTTAGGGACCAAGGAAAGAGGTTGTTACCAGATAGTAAACTTCAATCTGACTTGTTATTCCTTTTCTAAACCATTCAAGAATTATTACCTTTAGCTTGACTTTTCTACTTTTGTGGCAGTTAGGCTTAATTTAACATTAATAATTAAGTTGGGAGCTTTTAAATGGCTGACTGCCAACTGGAGCATCACTTGATTAAATCATATTGCACATTCTGGGTGCAAGCAGGGGGAATAGGTCAAATGTCATAATCATTTCATTCCCAAGCTGTGATGATTAAAAATGAGATTTAAGCTAGACCAACCTGTCAAATATAAAATCTGAGAGCTTACTCTGTCTTTTTAAAAAGACTGTATTCACACTAGCCATGTGGGTATGGGCCACCAATTCAGACAATCCGGCTCTCTTAAAAATCTTCACACTACCATGCAAAATAATCCAAAAGAACTTACTTCGAATCTGTTTTTTTATTTCCTTAGCAGGGTCCAGCCAATTCTGAAAAGGAAATGACAGTTTGAATTTGAACCAGAGAAGAATAAAAATAACTGGATGATGATCATGAACTAAAGCGTATTTGAAAGTGCATGGTGGCAGGCCCTCCAAGCTGGGTCCTTCCCCCACAGCTGGGAGTCTAATGAGTCTAATGAGAAAATGTGTGTGTGCATGCACAATTCACGTGTGACAAAATTCTTTTCTTTTACAACAGCACCTTCAAAGATTTGAGCTAGTACAGCAACAGAGGAGGGAAAAAAATAGTGGATTCTATGTTCAAAGAAGTTACTAGAATAAATTAAAGATACACGATGTCCACTGACATCCTAGCCATTCAGGCCCACAAAGTGACTTCTGTGATTATAGATGCTTAGGCAATTGCCTAACAAATGAATACCTGCTTGAGATTTATGATTTTCCTCATCAGAAAACTCAGATGTTTAATAACAAAGTTAGACATTGTTCAGTGAATTGAGTAGGTATTAAACATGATTCATTGCACAACATCAAAACAAATAACATCTATGAGCAAAATTTCTGTGACTTAGTTCCTAGCACGAACACAAAGGAAACGTTTCCTCTTCTTTATTTTTCAGGTAGCTGTGGGCATTAGTGAGGCAAAGCCCCAAAGAGACTGCTTTACTCAGGTGTAAGAGTCTATAGAAGTATTACATTAAACATTAAGTACCTGCTGAATACATCAGACAAGGGTCTGGTCAGCAAACAACCCATGTCATATTCTAATTTTTGTAAGTATATGAAAGCATACTAAGATGAATTAAGAACAGGACAGCAGTCAGGGAACATGTATTCTATGTAAGTATCAACGTATTTGATTTTCATGGGCTCAAATCCACTGAAATATATCATCCAAGAAAAGAACCATATAAAATGCTCTCCTAGAACCATAAATAACTCACTCATGAAATACGGATTTACTCTTTCCAGAATATTCAAGATTAAAGGAAGTCGTCAATATCTTTCATAAAGAAGTAAGGTGATTAACAGCATTTAGGGACTCAAAGGAGTAAATATAGGAGTGGAAGCAGAGAAAATGATTTACCAATTCAGTTTTCATTCCCTTTCTTCCAGTAATGAGTAGTTTGAGACATACGTTTGCATTGCTTTTAATCACTCACCTTCTGGTTTTCAGCATCTCGATACGTAAGCCCAAAATAGTCTTTTTCCAGCAAATTCAGATGTTCACATACTTTATCAAACAGCACCTGGCCTCTGGAGCGTTTCTGTGGAAAACAGAACAGAACAAGTCAACACACATAGTTTTCTCAGTTGCCACGGATAAAAACGGGTAAAATTTAACATACTGCCTGCTGCAACTTCAAGGTTCAATAAAGTGGGCTGACACCTACAAAACCCCATCCTTACAATCAACAGACAAAACCAAAACTCACCTGTGCCACTGAGTAAGTACAAGCAACCCGAGGATGATTTTTTTAATTTTTAATTTTTAAAGATTTTATTTATTTGGGAGGGGGTGGGGGGAACACAAACAGGGGGAGTGGCAGAAGGAGAGGGAGAAGCAGGCTCGATGTGGGACTGGATCCCAGGACCCTGTGACCATGACCTGAGCCAAAGGCAGATGCTTAACTGACTGAGCCACCCAGGCACCCGAGTGGATGATTTCTAAACAGAAGTAGCTGAGTAAATGATACAGGGCTTGGAAGTCTGAAACATCTTGTGAAATATAAAAATCTTGAGAGTCAAAGAATACAAAGGACCAGCAAAAGCTGTGTTTCAGAATGCCCTAACTCGGTCCCCACGTGACCAGATTCGGAGCCTGGGAAGAATCAAGCCTATTCCTTGGCTTAGGCAGACTTCCCCTGAAGACTTTCTATTCCAACCCTTACTTAGAAATTCCGTTAACTTCATTAGTTTATTTTTGGTCACAAATTTCAGTTTTGTATTACAGTGTTCAACTTTCTCTTTATTTCTTTTGAAGAAATCCTATTAGACATAAAATGTTAAGTTTAAAGATTTTAGTTATCATTTATAAATATAAGATATAGATATTGATGCTACATTTTTTACCATAACGCAGTCACTTGCAGAAAGGAAAAAGGCAGTCATCTGAGGAACAAAAATCTATCAGCTTAATTTACTGTAATACCCAGTATCACGTTTTCATGGACTCCTTCAAAGGTCTTTCAATCTGGCCTTGGGGACTGAGATGGATGGTCTGGCAACAATTAAATTAAGCCATGTTTTGTCTGTATTGTAACAACACTTCACACCTAATACAGTAAGCATATTTGTCTTTAAGATTTAATGTAATAACAATGAGAGATGTAAAAATTGATAGACAATGTGCATGCCAAAATAATAAGTATTCAGAAACTTGTAAGTGGTGTGTATTATTATGCAACTGTAATTATATTGGAAGTTAATTGCTCAGCCCCCTGAAGCATGACTATTTAGGACAAAAAATAAATCTATGATAGAAAAGTAAAGCCTAAATTGTAGCTAGCTAAATCATCAATGATGTGTTTGAAAAAAGTTTAATAATGAATGAAAATAAATTACGTATTAGCAAAACTACATAATAACATTGTTCAATGGATATGAATAAGTGGTAGGACATGAAATGCTGCTCACCAGTTTAAATCTTTTATTTGTAAATAACAGCTTATCACATCTGAATAATGTTTAACAGATTATAAAGTTTTCATTAAAAAAGTTGCTTCTTCCAATGTCTTCTACTGGTATTATCTTTAGTTTACAGAGAAGAACACAGAGGTTCAGAGAAGTCAGATGAGAGAGGCAGTATTATGTAATCACGGAGTGGTGGCTTTAGCAGATCAACCTGGGTTTGAATCTTCACTATGTTCTTTGCGGCTATGTGAACCTCTCTGTTTTTCCCTCTGTAAAATGGGTATGAAACTACTTTCTTCTTTGGAATGGATGACATTAGAATAAAACAAAGTATTCAAACTTGGGTCCAGTGATGGCACATACCAAGTATTCCATAAACATTAGCTATTTTAGCCCAGGTGACCAACAAGTAGCAGGATCCGTAATGTAGAACTTACTATGTATGCATTTTTGCTGTTGGAGCAAATAAACAACTCCTCATGGTGCCAATAAGCAGTTCAGTATTAACATGTCCTGATCTTTCTTTAGATATTAATTACCTGCTTACTACCTAACTGCTTTAGCTAGACTACAATATTTACACACATGTACACCACCCCCCGTACATACCCAAACACACACCAGTGTCTGGCCCAAGTACTTTCTCAATGAGTAAAAGTAAAACAAAACAAAACAAATATAAATAAGTAAATTCTTCTCTATTCTCTGACCCAGCAGCCCCTCAACTGTAGAATTCTTTCTGAATATGCAGCAGGCTGCCTTGGGCATTGTTTTAATTAGCTGTCTCCTGGCTGCTGTGTTCTTCCCTTCGTCTAACAGGTGGCATGGACTAGCTCAAGCACAGACCACTGTACTAACTAGATCGTACTTTTCAGGCTTCTCACAATTTGATTTCTATTAATGATTTGTAGCTCTCTCTTGAATAGACCAGATTTTTTCTTACTAAATATTTTAAACATATTTTGAACACTACAAACAGTTCTTAAGACAATTACATAGTGGTCCACTCTTCACACCGAAGTTTGTTTTTTCCCCCTAAGAACCAAGATGAGTAGTCCAGGATCTACCGTAGATGGTTATATGTAAACAATAAAATTCCTACCTGCTAAGTATCACCACAACCACCAGCTAGCTGGATGACACTGGAATGACACTTTTAAATTACTTAGGTCTTCATTTTCTCATCCTGGAGTGACGATGTAAGATCCTATGGAGCAAGGCTGTCATGGGCTTGAGGCTATGACTGGGTCCCCTGAGTCACGGCAAACATTATTAACGATTACAAGGCTCTTTCTCATGGAGCCTGGATGTGGCTTCAGCACCCTTCTGCACATGTGATGAGAAAGACTGCCAGTGGATGGAGTTGGATCTATTTCCCAGCCCTAGATAGCATCACTCTGAACTCTCCCAAATTCTTGATTCTTCTAACTCAGATTATTATTTTTTTGCACACTATTCAACTTTTTAAGGCAATTATTTCTACTTACCAACATCTGTGTATCTTTAGGTAACAACATCTAATGTAGTTGACTAAAGCTCAATAATCAGACTGAAACTTTTAAAGAATTTAAATATTTGGTTGCTGAAGACACAATATTCATTAAGTGATCAAATCTAGGTACTTTACTGTCATTGGGCATGTTTATATTATAGCCATAATGAGTCAAGAACTGAGTAAACAATGTTGACAGAGGTTTTTCTAAATTAGCAGATAATTTACCTAACCAGAGAAGATAATAATTTTTAGTCTTGTTTGCTGTTTCATGTGAGTTAAGTCATATCTCTGACTCAAGGACATTGATAGTTCATATATACCATTCACTATTAATCTCTGAACATCTAGAAAAGTCGATTTTGCTTTCCTAGAGTAACAAACAAATGTGATAGACCACATTCTTTCTGCCCTCTTTTCTACACTAAAAAATTAGGTTTCTGTTTCTGATAAAGTAAATGGGGATATTACAGTCCAACAAAGAATTTAAATATCTAAAGAATGGTAAATCCCCCAAGCAATATGAACTCTCCTTCTTAACGATTTTAATTCAAAAATGTTCCATATTGACTCATGACAGTGTTGAATGTTAGGAAAATTGTGTCAAAAGAGAAAAACTTTAAGAGAATGAAAAGACAAGCCACAGAATGGGACAAAATATTTGCAAAGACCTATCTGATAAAGGAATGTACTCAAAATACACAAAGAACTCTTAAATTCAACAATAAGAAAACAACCAAATTAAAAACCGTGCATAAGATCTCAACAGATACTTCACCGAAGACATACAGATGTCAGAAAAACATGTGGAGAGATGTTTATCAAATACCATTAGAGAACTGCAAATTAAAAGAACAAGGCAACTCTACGCACCTATTAGAATGGCTAAAATTCAAAACACAGACAACACTAATTGCTGGCAAGGATGTGGAACAATAGGAAGTCTTATTCCTTGCTGATAGAAATCCAAAATGGCGAGCCACTTTGGAAGACAGTCTAGCAGTTTCTTACAAAACTAAATATACTCTTAATATATGATCCAGTCATCATACTCCTTGGTACAAAGGAGGTGAAAATTTATGTATACACAAAAACCTGCACGTAGATACTTTTGGCAGCTTTATGCAACATTGCCAAAACTTGGAAGCAACCAAAATGTGTCTCAGTAGGTGAATGGATAAATAAACTATGTTACAATCTAGAAAATGGGATATTATTCACATTAAAAAGAAATGAACTATCAAGCCATGAGGAGACATGGCAGAACCTCAAATACCTATTACTAAGTGAAAGAAGACAATCTGAAAAGGCTGTAGGTATGATTCCAGCTATATGACATTTTGGAAAAGGCAAAACTATGGAGACAGGAAAAAGATCAGTGGTTCCCAGGGGTTAGGGAAGAGGGAGAGGTCAACAGGTGGAGAACAAAGGATTGTTAGCATAATAAAACTACCCTGAATGGTACTATATGGTGGATATATGTCATTATACATTTGTCCAAACCCATGAAATGTACAAAGAGTGAAATTTAATGTACACTATGGACTCTAATAAAATGTATCAACATTGTTTCAGTAATTACAATAAATGTAGCACACGGATATAAAATGTTGAAAATACGGAAGGGGGGTGGGAGAAGGGAGTTTGAGGGGGTTATATGAGAAGGCTCTGTACTTTCTGCTTAATTTTTCTGTAAACCTAAAACTGCTCAAAAAAAGGTATATTAATTAAAAAGAGGAACACTGACAAAAATACTTAATGTCTTAAATTGTTAATAATTTATTAAATACTTAAAAAGATTAATAGAGTTAAGCTCCAAATGATTTTACTTTTATCATGAGTAAATGGAAATTTAAAATTTTTATTGAGAGCAAACATGTTGGAGAAATAAAAAACTTTAGTTGCAACACATACCAATGATAAAAGTGAAATCATTCGAGGAAAAGCTGCTATGCTTCTCATCCTATGTACATACACACCAGGAACCCCGAGTCTAAAGTGCCTGCAAGCAAACCCAATATGATCTGGTAACGAACAGAAGCTGGGTGACGGTTGAGTGATTGCTCAAGATCTGCATCACACAATTAGGGAATCCAAACTATGAACAACAAGATGATGGAATAGCTAAGGTCAGAGGCTGGG